AGCTCTTGAACATAACTTGAAAATAACAACACATCTTAAATAACAACACAATTAAATAACATATACATAAAAAGAATAATAAGTTCTTGTAAATTAAATAACAGTGCTCACAACCAAAAAAACTAACAATGAAAGAAAATACTTTTGCTATGGTTTTTCAAAGCCGTATATCACCCGATAGCGATGTTGTAAAAACAAGATGATGGCTGGTTAGATATATATATATATATATATATATATATATATATCCATTTAAATAATTAAAGAGTTTTCTTTCCGAGCCAGATGGTACAATTAACAATTGATCATTTTTACAATTTTTACAATAAGTAATTTACTTCCGGGTTAAAATGGTTGGTCATTGTACTTAATCTATAATGAAAACTACATACATAATACGCAACTGTGTCCGTTGCAAATGTGCACATACAAATATTATATATAATAGAATAATAGTCAAATTCTAAAGATTTCTTTACATTATGATTTCTTATGCCGATTTTGCGTTTTGAATATTATTCATAATCAGTTTTATGTCTAACGTGTTTGGGTAAAGTTTAGTGAATTCTCATATATTATATTTCAGAAAAAATGTTGAAACGCCGAAAAAATTTTAGAAGATGAAATTGAAAATGAGTTGCTAAAAGACATACCACAAATTCCAGATACTTGTAACTTACAACTTACAAGTTGTAAGTTACCATAGATACAGTAGAAGAAAAACGGCAATTATTGGGGTTGTTCTGAATGTGGGCACGATAACCGTATCTATTCCCCAAGAATATTTTAATATATATTTTTATACACGCGTGGTTTTATTTTTTTATTTAGTTAAGCAAAATTACCTCATTTAAAAAAAGTCCGAGTTGAGAGATATGTATAACACTTTAATATACCGATTAGAAAGTGTTAATACTTGCCATTCAAAATTAACAATTTTAATATTTGTCGTTAAGTTTAACCCATTCCACTCGGATTTTGCCGTTTTGGCGACAAATTACATATTAATCTTGCAATTCGCAAAAACAGCAATCAATGTTTGCAAACTTCAATTATAAACACCAATATACATTTATAATTATGTACTAGATACGCCCATATATTGCTTTTCAAACATTCAATATGATGAGAAAATATTTGATATTATTTATTTTCTAAAACAATGGAAAACAATTGTATCAATTTATATCAAGGCTTCATGTTTCAATAATAATTTATTTCGTGATTTGTCAAGTCGATATGAAACCTAAGCATTAGCGAATATAAATTTGTTTTTATTAAACTAAAAATATAAACAAGTAAATTACTTTTCTTTTTGTTGAAACAGTTTGCAATTCTCTGAATACGGCAATAATTATTACAAAGCTTTATCAGCAAATCAATATAGGCTATATTGATTTGCTGATAAAGCTTTGTAATAATCACTCTTCCAGGTGATGTAAAAAAAACTCGTAGACAGTATTTTATTTGATATTGGATAAGCGTTGATCGTTTTTTTTAAATTGTTTTTGTTAAATTTGTTTGTTGTTCACAAAAAATGTGGTACTAAGTATATATAAAAAGCGTACTTATATTAATATTTCTTTTAAAATATTATTGAATCGTTTATTTCAAATTCATACTTAAAAGCCATCGAATTTGAAAGATATGCTGTTTGAATTAAAGTAAATGTGAATTTGGTTATTTTCGTGCCTAAATGAAAACTAGAAATTGTTTATCGAGTGAAAAAATGTAAAACATTTATATTAACAAGAAATAAGTACAAGGCGGTTAACGGAAAAACAAGTAAGTTAATTTGGAATAGAAAATAATCTAAGTTTATATTTAAAATACCATGCCTCGTACTTAATTTATATGATTTATTTACAGAAATTTGTAGACATATTAATTATATTTAAAATTTGCAAATATTTACATATATGCGTGCATAATAGTTATAAAAATAATTATTTGCTTTATTATTATTGGTTTTACTAAATATTCATACTATTGGCTAATATTGTGTATTTTTCATCCTGATTTTAATATGATTTGTCTATTAATTTGTACATGCGTAAAATATTATTTAAATTCATTAATAAAAATGGCTAATTTTAAAAACTTGTTAAAACAAATTATTATTAGTTTAAAAAATTATCTAACGTTTAATTAACAATCATAATAATAAAAGGTAGTCTGCCCGAAGACCAAGTTGTTTTAACAATATGACTTTCTTTATGTCATATAATAGGAATAATGTTTCAAGCCCTATTTCTTTTATATATAAACATAATTTATTAATTGTATGTGATCAATTTGGGCTTTAAAACATAATCAGTAAATTAAGGATATAGATATTGTATAATATATTCTATATTATAGAATATATAACATGCTAGAAATAATTTATGTAATTTTTTATGCATTTATTTCTTTATCATTTGGTAGGCCAATATCGCATGGGAATAATAAATTCAATAAGTTTCGCTTTGTTCAAAGCATAATTTTTTTTACTCGTACATGGAAACTGTAATAAGTTTTTCGCCTTATCGTTTTTTATTATATAACTGTATAGATCTAGGTGGACGATAATATCGAAAAAAGTCAATATGTTTATATTATTAATCATTGATGATAATTTGTTTTCAGTTTCTTTTTTCATTTGATAAAATGGGTCTAAGAGACTTCGTCTGTCCAACCAAGTTAAGGCCCGTATTCGCTTTGATATATAGGCATTGGAAACTGATATTTGTTATTGTATATACAGCTGTAATAATAAAATGTTGGTTTGTATATAACACAAGTTCCAAAAATAATTCCGATGACATCGATAAGCCATGGAACTGGCACAAATTCAGTGATGCCCAAGTTAGTATTTTCATTGTGACTTACCCACACATATACACACACACACACACACACACACACATATATATATATATATATATATATATATATATATATATATATATATTGAACAATAAATCCAATAAATAAAAAACAATTTGTTTTTTGTAGATGTAAGTAAAAATTTTTTAATAAACATTCTGTATTCTTCGCCATTAATAGAGTTAGTCTATATAAAAAGGCAGAAGAAACCTGATGATGGAACGTACCTAGTTCCGAAACGTTGTAATTAAACATCTATAAAAAACAAATTGTTTTTTATTTAGTGAATTTATTGTTCGGAAAAGAAACATAAATCAATTTATTGAAAAAATCCAGGACTTGTCTATTAAATAAATATATATATATATATATATATATATATATCGTCGAAATAAAAGAAAACAATAAATAATAAAATATTTATTTATACGTTTCGACACTGTTGTGTGCCATCAGAAATTTTTTGATACAATATCTAAAAAAAATTTACAAAGTTTAAAAAAGACTAAATTTAAAATATATTATAGATTAAAAAATGACAAATAAAAAATTGATACATACCACACAAGAAAAAATAACAAAAATTAAAAAAACTATAGAAAATAAACAATTATAAAATAACAATTTAGTTTTAAATTTAAACTAAAGATTTATGTAGTGTTCGTTGCAAGCAAAGTTCTTTGCTTCTTCTTTTAGATACTGTAAAAACAAAAAATTGCTGAATTATGACACACAACAGTGTCGAAACGTATAAATAAATATTTTATTATTTATTGGTTGAAAATCAACATTCAAAAATATGTCTCAACGTCGAACAAAAAAATCTAAATCATATATATATATATATATATATATATATTTATTTATTTATTTATTTAAATAAAATTATTTATTGCAATAAAACGAAAATTAAATACTTTTTATTCAGTGTTTATTAAATTTTATTTTTAACAATTAAATAAACATTACAGATACAGATAAATAAAGTATTTCAAATAAATTTACTGAATTTTGTTTCAAAATCCAGTATCCAAAAACTTTATCCAATAGAAGGTTTTGAGTTTGTTATTTCTTCGATTATTTGATTATTATGAATATTATATAGAGTAGAGCGGGGCTTAAAGGTCCAATACCGATATTACAAAAACCATTAAAACTAGGATTTTTTGAAATATTTGAAAGTAGAGGGAAAAAGATGTATAACTAGCCATCACCTCGATTCTTACGACGTCGCTATCGGGAGATAAACGGCAATGTATGAAAATCCGTAACAAAAATATTTTCTTTTGTTGTTACTTTTTTGTGAGCACTGTTATTTAGTTTTATACGAGACCTTAATATAAATTTTAAGTAACCTAAATAACCTCTGTAAAAGCTTACACTTGGGCGGGGTAAAAAGTACCAACTGAACTTATAAACCCTGGCATAATAATTCTAAAGAACATGTTTGGAGTTGATTGAATTTGTAGTCAATTTGCTTATGATTCATTTCACACAATTACTATTAAAATATAAGGTTTTGACGTTATTTAAAATTGTGCTTTTGTTTTTAGGCGCCTAGCCACCTACTAAAAACTATATTTAAGCAACCTTTTTTTCGTTTTTAGTTACTAAGTCGAACTAATAAAAAATATAGATCTAATGCATACATTAGTGTGGGCCTTAATATGGATGTTTTTGAATTTTCTTGCTTCCAGGGGGCTCTAATGCTTCCAAATTGATAAAAAACTATTCTCTGAAAGTTTTAGCTCTTAACATTACCTTTAAGATATCCGCACTTCAACCAAAGTTTCTATGGAAATAACATGGGTAAAATTCCATTTGTTTCATAACATTGTATTTAATTAGTTTGATCATAAATAACAAAATACAATAAAAATTTGATATATTTCCTAAAATAAGTATTTACTTAGAAAGAAGAGCAAAAAAAACTTTGTTTTAAATAACTAACTATGTTAGAGTTAATATTAAAAGCTGAAACTTTTAGAGAATTTGTTTTTTATCAATTGGAAGCATTTGAGCCCCTGGGAGCAAGGAAATTCAAAAATGATCATTTTAAGGACCACCCTAATATATATATATATATATATATATATATATATATATATTATATTTCAAACATTTTTATTTCATTTAAACAGGTATCTTCTATGTCAGTTCTGGGGCAAATATTATACCTAAATAGAACTTTACCGAATGCAAGAGACAAAAATTTTAAAATTCTTGTACACAAGCATGGGGAGTTCTTAGAGCGAAGACATTTAAAGAATTTTGGAACAAAGAAGTTAGTAAAATATGATGATTTATAACGTAATACTAATATTATTAAATTGATTAAATTGTATTATTATCACAATATAAGCAATAGGTATCGTGCTGATTAGTTTTTAGTAAAGATCAGACAGCTTCTTTATTAGTAATAACCCAGAAATTTTTATTATTTTAGTGATCAGCAGAGCCATTTCTTCTGTAATAAATTTGTTTTATGTCTAACTAATATATATATATATATATATATATATATATATATATAATCAATATTTATTATTAATTTTGAAGTAGTATTTTTGATATCAATATCTTACACGTATGGGGCCGTCAAGTATTACGTAAGCACTCTAGGGGGGCGGGGAGGTTGTTGATTTGCTTATTTTGGGTTGACATGGGGGGCAGGGGAGTCTGCATGATGATTACGTCATAGGTAGTCTTTTTATATTTTTACATTAATTGCAAAATGTTTACATAAGCATGGATGTAGGGGGTAAGTGCTTTGCTTACTTTTGCTGACAAGGGGGATGAGGGGGTAAATAATTGTAATAAATCTGCTTACGTAATACTTGAACGATCCCTATGTAATTTTAGTTTTCACTATTTAATACATTTCTGGTTAGGAAAAACCCGTTTGCGGAATGTTCCGTTCAGAATTGTCATTTGACATACGATAGCAAAGAACTAAAAGATGCAGATGCTGTAATTATTCATCTGCATAAAACCTGCAAAATATCTGATCTGCCAGTCGAGCACGGGTTGCGTCCACCAGGACAGCGCTGGATTTTTCTTAGTGATGAATCTCCTCCAAACGCCTTTTTCTGCGCAAAACCTCTTACGCCGAAGCTGGACGGTGTGTTTAATTGGTCCATGACTTATAGGTATAAGCATAGGATGAATAATGATATTTATTAGGAAGTTAATTAGAATCTTCTGAGTTTAATAAGTAATATAAATAGCATGAAATTTTGAACTGCATGCGTACCACAGAAATTATAGAAAGCTTTAATCATATCTTGTTACTGTTTCACGAATTTGGTTGAAACTAGTGTTGTATGGCATCGTGCCTTAAGGCAAATTGCTGAAACTTCCCGAACCAAAAATTATTTTTTTTAAAAAAGAGATTAAATTTTTGAGAAAATTTAAATTTTTTAAAATAATTGACTTTTTTCGAAAAAAAAAGTTTTTTTATTTTGAAATATTTTGGAAATTTTGAACTTTTTTCAAAGTAATCGCACTACTTCAGCTGCATGGACACGAACTATTGAAGCGCGTAAGCGCCTCGTCGCCGTCTTACGGACAAACGATGTTACGGAGCCCATAGAAATGTCAACAAAATTTATACGTATTATTAAAATCTTCATAAAATATCTGATACTTATATCATAATCCATAATCATAATCCTATAATATGTTGGTCTTTATTGTCACAGTCAAAAGTTTATTTTGAGGGTAGTTTTGTCATGTTATTTGGGACTTATTTATTGTTATTTCTAATTACTCATATTAAAACCAATAAACTTATGCCAGTACTAGGGGTTTCGATAAATTTTATTGCAATTATCAGGTGTTTAATAGAATTTTGATTATTTACTTCTTTTTGTTCCCTTTCGCACAAAATGACATACTTATACAGGGGAAAAGATGATATAGTACCTTTCTGCAGCACTACAGGGTGGTTCATTCAAGGCCAAGAAAAAGAAAGTTAAAACCTGTCAAAGATGATTGGCTTTTAACTTATACTCTGACTACTTCTAAAAACAGACCAAAGAATCAGCCGGCAGAGGGAAAAGACTTGCATTTACTGCAAGCAAACAAACAAAGGCTTTTTTAACTTCCCGTAGAGCAAGTTATAGTACTCGCAAAAAAATCGAAAATGAAAATTTTTGCATTTCTCGACGTTTTAAAGGTTTCTGAATACTTTGGCATACCTTAGAAAAAAATGGATGTATGTCTCTGTGTGTGTGTATGTGCCTGTATGTGTGTGTTTTCGGATACAACTTTTCGTCGACGATTTCGGGAACACGGATCAACTGATTTGAATAATTCTCGTCGCCGTCGATACGGAGCAAAAAGTGCCGAAAACGGTAACTCAGTTTTTAAGAGAACGGAGCGTTCGATTTTTAAAATTCAAAAAACATTTTACTTGTATTGACAAGATTAAGAATTGATCAGCGGTCTAGCGGTTTCGGAGATCTAACGAAAAAAGTAAAAAAAATGCCATTTGGCGGTCAAAAATGATCATTAGACATATGCACAACAAATTATCAGATATTTTATAGAGATTTTAACAATAAGTATAAATTTTGTTTACATTCCTATGGGTTTCGTACCAATGTTTATCCGTTAATAAAAAATAATAATTTTTGGTACGGGAAGTTCCAGCAATTTGCCTTAAGGCACGATGCCTTAATTGCCTTAAAACAGAATTCCACTTACAGCTAGTTACGTTTTGAGCCCGGCAAAGATTGGCAACAATGCATGACTTTCTCCCTTTAGACTCATGCGTTATGTGCTGATGTTTCAAAAGGGTCTAAACCAGTGATTCCCAACGTGGGGCACACGCCCCACCGGTGGGCAATTTGTAAATTCAGGGGGGCAATTTGAAAATTTTTGTGATTTGAATTTAATTTAGTATAGTATCGGTAAAACATTCAACAAAAAATGCTAGATTGAACTTAGATCCTAGTTTTTAACCTTGCTTGCCTAGTGTCGAAGTTATATTTTCACTCCCGGGCTGACCTGACTTTTTAAAAAGTTTAGTAATAAAATTAGTTTGAAATTTTCGTTTTTTTGACTTATTCTTGACTTATGATGTCTAATCAGAATTTAATAGTGATTTTATCTTGAAAGTTATCATTTGTATTTTTTCAGGAACAAAAAAAAATTGTATGGGGGGAGCATAACGTTTTTAGGAACCTTAAGGTGGGGCGGGACCCAAAAAAGGTTGGGAATCACTGGTCTAAACGATTTATTTATGAACTATCTTCTTAAAAAATATTTGTGTATGTCCTTGCCCTATATTCATTTTGTCCATACTATATCTACAAATGGTAATTATTTGCATTTTTTTTTCTTAATAAATACGTTATTATAGTATTTAGTTCAGTCCAAAACACCATGTCATTTTGTCTGTACTTACCATAAATGAAGTAGTACGTGAACAAAAATAGAATGTGCTTTTGGTTTGGAATTGATGGAATTGAATTGAACCAATTAATTTTTCAGCTCTTTGACGTCACTATTTATCGCTACTTATAATTTTTCTGACATTTTTTCTTCTTTTTCTATACATCACAACTTCTTTTCTCATCTATAACTACCATTCTTCATGTCACTAGCAGAACTGAAAACATCATAAGTTTTTAATCCAACAAGGCGACACGTCCTCATCACTAGATCATATACCACAGACTCATCATAAGCACTTCGTTACTTACTTGGCGAGATGGTTAAATATATTTTATTAAGAGTATAAATAAAGTAGTTAATCCATCAATGCCATCCTGGTGCGTGCGTTCTACAAATCAGGACTTTTTTGACCAAGTTTAATCATCTATTTTATAGGCAAACTAAAAGTTCTTATCAGGTGAGGTAAATATGATCAAATTAGATCTGGATTTATGAATTTTATACTTACAATTTTTTTATGACATCATTGATTGCCACCGAAAACATAACATACAATTAGTTCACCAAATTAATAATAATAAAATGCACAATTAATACTTATTAATATTTGAAATATTGCATTATAGATATGATGCGGATGTTCCTGTAGCTTATGGAAGAACTGTGTTGAGAAAAGACCCAATTGACGAAAAGGTACATCAAGCCAACATTGATAAAATACTTGGAAATAAGAAACATTTGGCAGCTATCATGATATCGAATTGCAAAGCAGAGTCATTGAGATGGAGATATGTTAAAGAATTATCCAAACACATGCCATTGACAATACTAGGAGCGTGTGGAAATTCTACTATGTGAGTTCTTGAAATGAATAATGATATTTAATTAGAATATTTAAACAAATAAAATTACTACCAAAAGTTATGATCAGTGATTATAAAATTTAATTATGTATATTTCATAAAGCATTATCGTATCCAACGATTTTTACAGGTGCCGAGCTCAATTGCATTATGGGATAGATTGTCCAGAATTAGAACAATTTAAATTTTACTTGGCTTTTGAGAATAGACTCTGCGACCAGTACATAACAGAGAAGGTTTGGTGGAACGCTTTAAGTAAGGGTGCTGTTCCAATTGTTATGGGTGGCGATGCCCAAAGGTGAGTTACTTTTACAAAACCTACTATTTTTATTGATGATATCAAAACATAGTGAAATTTATTCCATTGTGTTATTATATATATAATATATGTAGTAGAAATTTGATATTATTTCATTTTTCCGTTTTTAAATTCATAGATTTAGATTTCCGTATTCATAAGTTACAAAATAATATTGTGAAAGGTTAGTTATTGTTAGGACATATTTCTATAATAGAATTAGTGAATTAGTAGTTAAAGTTATGGGATTTTCGTCAGAGATCTTAGGATGCAAGGCAGTAGTGACATCGATCTTCACTTGGAAATATAAATAAACATTATGTTTCCAAGTGAAAATAGCTCTTATGCGGAATTGTCGGAATCAAATAAGAAATTTAATTTATTAGAAAATTGTAATAATAAATAGTAGAGATAGAACAACTGTTTAGGTTACCATCGATAAAACCGGCGTAGTTAGTAAAGTCAAAGCATCACAACAGCTTATAGGACAATTAAGTTATGATCGTTTTTTAATATATATATATATATATATATATATATATATATATACAGTACAGGCCAAAAGTTTCCGGACACATGAAAAATCTCATTTTCTGAGTTTTTAGCTATATTTTTCATATAAAATTAATTTTATTCAAGTTAGTTTTGTACATTCTACGTAGTATTAATATTTAGTGACTGATTTGTAACCAATTTGTGAGAAATGACGGACTAATTAGCAATGAAAATGTTAAAATGTCACAGTCGATTTTCCTGAATATGACCACCCTTTGCTTTGATCGCTGCAGCGCATATTTTTGGTAATCTTTTGACAAGTTTTTGCAATGTTTGCGCAGGTATGTTCTTCCAGGACTCGTTAAGGCAATTCCACAGGGTAGGGAGGCTGGTTGGATGCAAATCCTTCATGAGGCATTTAAGCTCGTCCCACAACAGCTCTATTGGATTAAGATCCGGCGATTGTGCAGGCCACTCAAAAAACCACTTCTGCGAGCAGTAAATAAACAAAAGAGATTGCAATTTGCCAAAACCCACTTAAATTGGACCATCAATCAATGGAAATCAGTTTTATGGACGGATGAGTCAAAATTCGAACTTTTCGGAAGTCATCGACGTAGGAAGGGTAATGAAAGACTCAATTCTAAGTGTATTTCGACAAAGGTCAAGCACGGTGGTGGTTCAGTGATGGCTTGGGGTTGTTTTGGATTCAATGGAGTCGGATCGCTTGTCAAAATACATGGAACTTTAAAGAAAGAACAGTATCATAGCATACTTGAGCGCCACGCCATTCCATCTGGTTTCAATTTAATTGGTCCAAAATTTATTTTTCAACAAGATAATGACCCTAAACACACTTCCCGACTCTGTGCCAATTATTTGAAGCGAAAACAAGATGAAAAAATACTTCAAATAATGAATCTTAATCCAATAGAACTGTAGTGCATTTGTCTGACTGATTTGCTTCCAAGCAGCCTCCCTGCCCTTTGGAATTGCCTTAACGAGTCCTGGAAGAACATACCTGCGCAAACCTTGCAAAAACTCGTCGAAAGATTACCAAAAATATGCGCTGCAGTGATCAAAACAAAGGGTGGTCATATTCAGGAAAATCGACTGCAGTGACATTTTAACATTTTCATTACTAATTAGTCTACTATTTCTCACAAATTGGTTACAAATCAGTCACTAAATATTAATACTACGTAGAATGTACAAAACCAACTTGAATAAAATTATTTTTATATGAAAAATATAGCTAAAAACTCAGAAAATGAGATTTTTTTCAAGTGTCCGGAAACTTTTGGCCTGTACTGTATATATATATATATATATATATATATATATATATATATATATAAATATATATATATATATTTAAAAACGATCATAACTTAATTGTCCTATATATACAGGGCCGCTCCTGCCTTGCATGCCATGCATGCAAAAAATGCGGGCGCACGCCTTAGGGGGCGCCAAAACGAGTTTCGGAAATTAAATTTATAATATATTATTTATATTTTTCATTATTTATATGAAATCTAGAATAGTTAATAAATTATAACAAACAATCTTACTTAACTAGGGATACGGAGAGACAAAAAGCGTATATATTTTGCAATGTGATATCAGTAGAAACAATTAACCGATTAATAACTCTGCAAATTAGTAAATAACAGCTCTTTTCATAGCTTAATCTACTTATTCAATTTTTTCTTTGTTTGAAGTTACCGTGGAATCAAAAAAGAAATTATCCAATGTTCAAGACCGTAAGCGCAAATCTGCGAAAGATTAAGTTAATTATTGAGCATTATTGACGAAAAATTGTGAGATGATTTAGTTCAAACGGAACTTGTTAAAAAATATAAACAAATTTTAATAGGAAAAATGAAGAATGGGGAGTCTGTGCTTAGAAAATGGCATGTTTATTCCGAGAAATTGAATTGTAACTTTTGTTTTTGTTGCAAATGTTTCTCATCTGATGAACTTTGAATGTTGAATACATGCGTGGTTAGGGTTATGAAAATGGAACAAATATAAAAAATGAAAGCAAAATTTACTTTGAAACGATAATCTTAAGGTTTTTTTTATACCTAGCGGTGTCCATACTCTAAATTTAAAAATTATTAACTATGCAGAAATAATACATATCAAATATAATTAGTTTTTTTCAATATGGTTCAAGAAATTACTCCGTTAACAATTGATTACAATCACAATTGAAACAATCTGATACTCTGAATATGACGGAAAAGCAAAGATGATTACAATTCGGGTCTTACGATATCAATAAGGAGAAGTTTACGACGCAAATTTGGATATTGTAAGTAATGAAAAATTAAATTAAACTAAAATTTAAAAAATCCAACATGAAATATGGGTGTTATGATTGAAAATGAAAAGCTCTCTTGGCATGATTCGCTCAATAGAATAAATCGCATAATAAATTAGTACAATGTTTCAAAACCCAAATATTAATATTGCACGAAAATTTAAAAATATTTGATTGTAATCAACCCGCGAATCGCCTCGATTTTCTAAACAAATTTCAAATCAATGTATTTTATACGCTTTTGGATTATAATCTGATTTTTGTGTACTAAATCCAGAATAATCAAAAATTAATTTTAAAAAAAATTGTAAATATTTATGTAATTTTAATGATAAACTGTAAGAGTTAAGTTAAAATTAATAGGGGGGGGGGGCGCTAGAAAAAAAGTTGCATGCGGGCGCTAAGTACCCCAGGACCGGCCCTGTATATATATATATATATATATATATATATATATATATATATACAGTAAAAGTTTATTAGTCCACACGCTTGAGTTCATTTTTACATCTACATCATGTCTTCTAATTTTATGTCGAAACCTAGTTTCTGAACCAACCAGAAACTTTATAAAAAATGTAGAAGAAAAATGATATAAAATTATAGACTTTCATATAAATACTAACAGAAAATTAATTACACAAAAATACACTATACTATTACACAGTAATAAACCAAGCTATTAATAATTGGAGCATTTAAAACGAATGATTCTTGACAACTTTTTTAGTAATATTTTAGTAATAATTTTACTAGAATGTAACAAGAAATTGTCAAAAATCATGAGTTTTAAATGTTCCAATTATTAATAGCTTAGCTGTTACATGTAACACATACTCCAAGCTGACAACATGTTCGTTTTGAATAAGCTTTTTTATAATAAAATATATTATTTATTTTAATTTTACAATTATTTAAAATTTATCATAACTCGACGTTTTATCAATTTGTTGTTTTATCATTTTGTTGTTTTATCATTTTGTCCATGCTTTTTCCATACGAAGTTTGATTGAATTGCGCTCTATCTAAACGTTAATATTAAGAGTTAAAACTTTCAGAAAATTGTTTTTTATCAATTTGGAACCATTTGAGCCTCTGGGAGCAAGGAAATTCGAGAATGACCATTTTAAGGACCACCCTAATATATATATATATATATATATATATATATATATATATGATGTAAAATTCGATTTAAATAATAATGTATAAATTATGTATAAATGTCTTGATAATACTTGACCAGAACTGTATTTTTGTCTTAGTAAAACCTATTCCCAATTCCTTCCCATGGGATCATATCTGACGGTCGACGATTTTGCGAGTCCGAAACAGTTGGCAGAGTGCCTGCAAGGCTATTGTTCCAGCAAGGAGATTCTGCGAGGTTTACACGAGTGGCGCAAGTATTTTGACGTGAAGCAGGAGCACGCCTACTTCGGTTCCCCTTCGGTCCATTACTGTCGCGTTTGCGAAGCCCTCAATTATAATAGTGAGGAACCGAAGATTTATGAAAAATTTAACAAAGTGTTAAGAACTGAAGATTGCCGAGATAATATACGGCATCCGTTTCTATAGCGATCTAATGCGACTATAAAATGATAAATTTATATTTAATAGTAATAATTAAAGTGATTTTCCGGCCATATAAGAACTGTGTTCTATGAGCGATGTGATACTCTTTATCAAATATTTCTGTTACCATACGATATACTCGTATTACCACTGATATAAAATTAATAATTAAATATTTTGTGATGTTCCTCATCAATATAATAAATCTTTATTTATTTAAACTTTATGCAATTTATTAACTAGTATAAGTATGAATATATACAAGTTTAATTCATTGTTATATAAAATAAAAACTTTCAGGTTTTAGGAAAAAAATTAAACAAGAGTCAGTTATTTAATTCTCTTATATGTGTGCATATTTGTTAGCTATGAAAGTTATAATTTGCCGAAGGGTAAGTTGTAATAATCGCAAAAAAGCGAAAAAAAATATTTTCACATATCTTTACGTTTCAAAGTTTTCTGAATATTTTGCATGCTTTAGAAAAGATGGGACACAAATTTTCGTCGACGATTTGAAAAATTCAAATAACATTCAATTTTCATTGAAGGGGAGACGTGTTGATTTGTTCCAGCAATGTGCCTTGAGTTACGATGCCATACACTACTAGTTAACAGATGTAATTTACAACTACTATTTTAACTTTTTGAATACTATTTTCTCCCTTTGAGCACGAAGATAATAATATTAGCTTCATACTCTAACATCAATTAATAGCTAATAATATTTCGCATTTATTTTATTATTTTATTTTATGTATTTTATGTATGTTGAGCAAGCGTGTTTTCGAAAATATCAAGCATTGACACATAGCAAGTTGAGGTTTAAGATTTTTGAATATGGAAGTGATCAGGATCTTTTGTATTGGAACTTAAGCAATATTCAACTATGTTCCGATCTGTGTCTGAATTATTCCGAACTGTGAATGATTTGAAGAGAAGAATAGAAATGTAAGCCATGATTGAATATGATTCCACGATATAGTTCCTTTTTTATGTTATTCGTAATCTTGTTTTAGTTCGATCTATTTTGCAAAAATGTTTGTAACATTTCACAACGAATCATTTATTATATGAATAGATTTTGTAAAATTTATGCGTTGCACCATAAATTCTGTTGAAATTGCTATCAACTATTAATCGTTAAATCAGATATTAGTTCAAATATAATACTATATTCATTATATCTTGTGTTTAAAAGACATGCGAAAATATAACATAGAAAAGCCTCCAATTCTTTATATAATCTTGTTTGACTATATTTTCCTTTTGTAAGTAAAAACGACGGATTCCGTAAATTATTTCACATGTAAGATAATACGATATGTAGGTAAATTGCTCATAATGAATTAGACACGTCTAAGTAATTCTCTAGTTTCAATAGACCAATAGATATTTTGCAACTAATAGATATACAAATAAATAGATATACAAATAAAAATGTAATTTTTAAATATTTATGTATCGATAGTTGATAGATGAATGGATTTTTGGACAGCGCTATGGGGCGACATTTGTGATAGGTTAAAGTTTTTGGTTCGAATTTTGATTTGATCCCCAACGTGCAAAATTCCATTTCACCGTTAAATGATGTCAATGTCTTCAGTTTTAGAGATTTGTTATTACGTATTTTAGTTAAGCATGTCTTGCTTGATTGTCATGATTTGTTTTGAATAAAATAAATTATATTCGCTAAAGCGATTTTTGTATTTATAAAAATATAGATTTTAATCATATAAGAGTGATAGTAAGATGACTCCAATATAATTTTTTATCAAACGCGATACTTAAATTCCGTTTCATATTTTGCGCAAGAATTTTTAATAATTGTGCCTCACTTAGTTTGAGGTATAATAGTGCGATATATTTTGATAGTGCTATTGTAGATTTTTCCACTATTAGTTTTATTTTATAGCTAGAATTAGTAGTGGAAAACACATTTATACGCGCGCTATATGTATAGCCGTGTAATTTCGTGCTTAGACGATTTAGAGTTGGAATTAAAAGTTTTGAATGTTCAAAAACGGACCAATGTTTTTTTGCAATGTTGTTTTGATTGATGTTTATTTTGTTATTGTTAGTTTTTCTCCGTATTGTTTGGTGCATCCCTCTGTCGTTTATCTGAACTAAAACTTGTTCGATCACTCTCTTTATATCGACCGTTAGTATTGAAGTATGAATTTTAAAATTTGGTATAATGAAACAGATTTCGTTTCGGATATTCGGTTTAACAAGTTGTAGATCAGACAACAGCAGACTTGTATCGGACTTACAAGGCGTTTCCAAAATTACGCGAAAATTAGTTGTTAAATTGATTGACTTTAACACGTCTGGATGAGGTGAAGTTATCATAAACGGTGAATTGGTTTCTGTTTGATTTCATATTTCAAGTGAAATATGACGTTTTAATGTTACTTGTCTACTATATTCTATGTCTTCGATATTTTTTGCAAATTGAATTATAGTACCAAAACTTTTGTCAATAATCTTAGTTGTATTAGTAATAGAATACTCTTCGCGTTGTTTTTCCATTTCAGTAAAGTATTGTTTACCGTCGTATGGTTCGCGTATTTCTGAAGATGTATCTACTTGAGCTTCAAAGTTAGATTCATGATTTGAAACCGAAATTGATTTAGAAATGTTTAATTGAGGTTTTGGTATAATTTAAATTGAATTCCGAACTAGTATCTGATTTATTCAATGCTGCTAGTCTAAGTTTTGATAATGTTGTCAAGCATTTGTGGTATTTATCAAAAAATTCTTCTAATTCGTTATCAAATAAATTATCAATTTCTTCTTTATCATCAAGTAAAGTTGCTATTTTGACAACTGTATCTTCAAATAAGTCAAAAATAGGTCTTACATATTCTATAAAACGGCTTATTTCAGAAATATGCTAATTGCGATTTAATTTCTAGTTGCTTTATTTTGAGTGATTTTAAAGTTTTTAACGATTCCATCTTGTCACAGATCGTACTAAACTTTATTAATTAAATAAGGAAAGATTGATAAGAAGGAAATGTAGTTGAATAACCTGGTTTCTTGCTTTGCTTGCGCTTGTAGCTGTAGCTCCAAATTTGAACTTCCTATCTTGATTTTGAACTTTCTCTTTATTTAATTTTGATTTATTTGGTTTATGCTTGTTTTGCTTGATTTCCAATTCTATGTATTTGATTGCCTTCGATTGCTGGACGACTCGTCTGGACCAATGTTTTTTAAATGATTGTTTGATTGAATTGCAAGTTATAATCGTAATTCTAATAATTTTAATATGTTTTTGATTATGTTTTGAATGATTAGATTTCAGTTTTATAATTATTTATTGATGATTTTTTGTTTTCTATCTCAATATATCGCACCCTTTGATATGGCGCGAACAGTATATTAGAACTATAGTCAGAATTAAAAAAATCTTAATTATTTTCGATATACAAAAAATTTTTTTTTTAAACAGAAATAGATTTTTTTTTTTTCCAAAATCAATTATTTTGTTAAGACAAGTAGAAAGTTCTTTGAATCATTTAAATCAAACGCTTAGTTTTCTTGCACATTTAGCTCTGTATCTTCAAAATGGCTGGGCCTGCCTTTGCCAAAAGCTAATAAATACTTCTCCCAATCATTACTAATTGAATATTTTTTAGATCATTCAAATCGGATGCTCCGTGCTCTCAAAAACTCGATTTCTTTTTTCTGCACTCTTTACTCCGTATCTTCGTAACTGCTGGACCTGCCTTTGCCAAAAACTAATCAGCATATCTCCCTATCAATAGGAATAGAATGTTTTTTGGACCATTCAAATCGGTTCATCCGTGTGCCCGAAAACGTGACCGAAAAATTGTATCCATACATACATACATACACACACATCCATTTTTTCTGAGGTATGCCAAAATGTTCAGAAACCTTCAAAACGTCGAGAAATGTAAAAATTTTCAATTTCGATTTTTGGACGATTACAATAACTTACCCTACGGGAAGTTAATAAACAATATTTACCCTAAATTCAGAAGCGGTTAAGAGCGACGGGTCTTGTTTCAGAGGTTTGATACCCGTTTCGAGCAGCCTGTTGTCAGGCAGCAGTGACAACGATTTTCACTTGGAAATATAGATAGCAATATGTTTCCAAGTGAAAATAGCCCTTGCCTGGCATTGCTGCACCAATAAAAAAGTCAGCCCTGTTAGATTAATTCTAATAACAAATATCATCAAATATGGATGGATTAACCATTGGGTTACCATCTACAAAATACGAAGTGAGAAGTTTCAGCCCAACAGCTCATAGGACGTAAGGTTCTGATTGCTGTTAAAAAAAAATAAAGAAAAAAAACCTAAATTCAAAATTATTATTTAACTAACATTTAAAAATATTATTTAATTTATATAGAAAAACAGTACACATTCGTGTAATTTTTTTTATGTTTTGTTTCCACTGAAGAAGAGTCGAATTGGGACTCGAAACGTATGTAAAATCATTTTAAGAAACATATTGTAGTTTTGTTTCTATTTATTGTTTGGATAGATAATACATAAATAAAAATAGATGCTTGTTAATTTTTTTCTTCCCGTATCGTAGTTATAGTAATGGGCCAAAAATCTAAAATGAAAATTTTTGCATTTCACGACGTTTTAAAGGTTTCTGAAAATTTTGGCATACCTCAGAAAAAAGGGATGTATGTCTATGTGTGTTTTGTATGTGTCCACATTTTTTCGTCTACGTTTTCGGGCGCACGGATCAACCGATTTAAATTATTCAAAAAACATTCGATTCCTATTGATAGGGAGATGTGCTGATCAGTTTTTAGCAAAGGCAGGTCGAGCTGCTACGGAGATATGAAGCAAAGAGTGCAGAGAATGCAAATCGAGTTTTTGAGAGAACGGAGTATCCGATTTGAATTATCTAAAAAACATTGAATTTGTAATGATTGGGAGGTGATTAGTATTTAGCAAAGGCTGGTCCAGCCATTTCGAAGATACAAAGCTAAATGTGCAAAAAATGGCAGTTTTTAAGAGAACTAAGCGTCCGATTTAAATTATTTAAAGAATTTTCTGCTTGTTTCAACAAAATAATTGCTTTTTTTTCAAGAAAAAGTTTTTTTTGTATATCAAAAATAATTCAGATTTTAATTTTAATTATGTTCTGATATACTTTAAACAAATAATTTCAACTTTGCGATTCAATTTATATAATTCTTATAAATATTAGACAATGTTACAATATTTATAAAAATCTATTTGAAGATATTTAATATTTCTCGACCATTTCGTTACGGTACGGAAAGTTCGAGCAATTTGCCTTAAGGTACAATGCCATACACCACTAGTTTAATAATTTCATTATTATCATCATTTGCTTTTTATTTTATATTAAACTTCAATGGAAATACTGTCACCTTTATTTTGTATATTTTATTGCAAATTTGTATCAAATGTTACTAGATGTTATATTTAGCAATTGTAACTGATACTGAAATTAAAAAAAAAGAAATATTAGACACATGTAAATATATATATATATATATATATATATATATATATATATATATATATATATATATATATATATATATATATATATATATATCTGTGTGTATACATTTGATCTGATAGTAATTTCAATTTGTTCATTCGCATGAAGTTTGCAATGGTTTGGAGTGAATACATACGCACAATACCTGTGCTAATCACTTGATATGACAATTGTTATCACTGCGTGGCCCGGTCGATGTCGACGTGCTTCATGTGATAAGGCGATTAAAATTTTAGTGTGTTCATTAAACCCGAAAACGACGAATCGAAGAACGTACTACGTGTTTAGTGTCATTTAATATTTTTGGTATTAATATAATTAGTTCCTGAAATATAATTCTCTTACTATAAAAGTTAAGAAAGCAGAACAATGGCTTCCGATTTAAAACTCGGGATGAAATGTATAAAATACATGCTGTTTGCTGTCAACCTGACTTTCGTCGTAAGTAAATTTTATGAAACGATGAGTTTTTTCAGTTTTGTTTCTTATATTATTTTTTATTGTCAATTGGTTGTTTAACAGTTAATTATATAGACATATTGGAATCTAATTGAACTCACAATGTTTTGAGTTCATAATGTGGCTTGTTTAGGTAACTAAAACAAACTCTTCAATGAGAGGTAAACTCTCCAATGAGAGTCCTAATTACTTAAAGTAGATCTATCGGTTCTTTTTTCTTCAATCACCTCCGGGTATTTAAGAAGTTATTGCTTTAAAAGATGTTCGAGAATAGAATATTTGAGATTTTATCTTCGTAAGGTTTACTGCCTACTAATTAACCCTCCGCAGTGTATCTGACAGATACAGATTTTAAGTATATTTACAGGAGGCCCATAGTTTTGTATACTTGTATCTCATTTGTGTTTTTACATTGCTGAACATGTATTTTACGAGTAACAAAATATGTATTAGATCAATATTATTCTTTTAATATAACTAAATATAAATATTTGTACATATGCTCAAAATGCTTGAAGCACAAGCCCTATTTTTTCTGAAATAACTTAATTAATTATATAAAAATTATTGTCAGGTTCTATTGGAATATTTATACAAAGACTAGTGTTTTGTCATTCTGTTCTGTCAAATAGAATTTGCCTTGGTGCGTTTCTTGTAATAAATTTTTTTCTGGCAAGGTATGCAAAGTTCAAAGGCATTTAATGTGAACAAATAAATAGTAGACATAAAATAACGAGGATACTGAGATCTGAGGTTCTTCATGACATCACATCATGGTGAAACATACTAAAATTTTGGCCTGTGTCTGTCAGATCGGCTGCGCCCGACGGGGGGACTACTGAACATTTTTATGTCCAATATGTATACCAAATTAAACCCAATATCTTAATCGTTGAAATAATATACTTTAATTGTTGAAATAAAAAAAAACTATTAATACATTTCGATAGTGTATTACGCAATCAATCTATTTCTGATATGGTTAAACTAGCTAGTTTTGTTCAAATATGACTTATGAATTTAATTAAATTTGTCTGAATTGAAGAGATATATACTTACTGCTGGTAAGAGGCTTACTACTGTACCATCCATCTATATATGTTTCAAAATTACTGAACATTTTTTTTGTAAATACAGATTGTACTTGAATGAAAGAAAGTTTTGTTACAGACAATACCACATAATAAAGGCGCAATTAAAATATGGCACGCATTATGTTTTATATATTGTAATGTCTACAAGTGTTCCATAGTATAATTTTTAAATTTAATTAATGCTATAAATTATTGCAAAACTTGTCAACTTTATGACAAAAATATAAAATGCTTTATTTTTTAAAAATGCCAATGTACTATCAGTGATAGTCCTAAATATTTCGTAATCATTATTTTTTGAATATTCATAAAATTAAAAAACTCGATATTGATATGGGTAGAAATCACAATTCTACTGATTATTTCAGAATTGCCTTGACAGCATTATGTTCAATAATATTTTAAAATAAAAAATATTATTAGACATGTTAAGTATATACATACAGCTGGATTTGCAATTCGTAAAACGGCATTGAACACTTGTGTTTTTCTTTTATTTACCTGATGACAAAAGTACAAATCTTTTGATAACGCTTATTAACAACATGCTTTGTACGTATTCAGTTCAAGTCCTAGTTTTTCAACATGTATGTGTAGTAATTAAACGTACTTGCAAAATTCCTATCTTTATGATAACTGGCTTAAAAACATTTATATAAACAGAAATGTAAAATATTATTGTATGTTATAATTTAATATTATTAAGTTATGTAACAATAAGATTCATTCAATATTAATATTGAAATTGTCGAATGTTAAAATTTTATTTAAACCATACTTTCATTTAGAATATTTATATTTATCGTGCTACGTTTAGTGATTTGAAATATTTTAAATGTTTAATTAAAACAATTTAATTTGAACAAATATATAAAATTGAAAACGTTATTTTAGTAAGGTTAAAACTAACTCGAAATTATGCAAAGCAAATATTTTTATATATGAACATTCTATTAGAAAAAATCGTTCAACATTTCAATTATACTCGAGTTCTTTTTAAAATGCATTTCTTGATATTAGTAATAATCCAATTATTTAGGTAAAATTGTGATAAACCATAGACAAACAACTTTTTTTTGTTGCTTATTTTCGTAAGTCAAGATAACGTTATCTGTATGACATCAGCTGATAATAATATTAATTTAGAATCATATCAGGCTTTTGATTTTGCACTACAATCAATTTTAGACACACGGCATGCGCATAACATATTCTAAATATGAGACTTTGCAATGTTAATGCACTTTTTTTTCTTTCTCATTAACGTCGACAATTAGAATTTTACTACAATAACGTATTATTACCACAGATTTTTTTCTATACATTTTAATAGCAATCACAACTATGTGTCCTATAAACTGTTATATACATTCCTCAAACCTTTATATGAGCTCGTGTAACTTTCTCAAACAATGATGAATTTTTTCATTTAATGCTATAACGTTGTCAAGGCTATCAATACTTATTTATTTCCTTGTTAGGAATTCCATCAATTTTTTTAAGGTATGCCAAAATAATCAAATGACCACAAAACGTAAAGATATGCAAAAATTTTCATTTTTTGCGATTACTATAACTTACCCTACGGGAAGATAAAAATAATTCGATTTTTTTTTCAAAATTTCAAAAAAGCTTCAAATTTGTCAAACTTGTCATTGGTGCTCGACCACATAAACTATGCTTTAAACTATATGCTCTTGAAGATAAATTGAAAAATCCAAATATTAACCAAATATAAAACCAAATAAACCAATTAACCAAAAACAGTAAAATTGACAGTAGCAACATTTTTTTATCTTACATGTTAGGGATTTTATTTTTTTGTTGCTGGTGCACCTACATTTATATTTACACATTTTGTTCTATTTCTTAATATTGGCAACACTGTCTGGTGGCATCACGTGCTGTCGAAAAGGCTTCGAGAAGACGCGTGTTAGAATACACTCGTCGTCCAAGTAATAGCACTTAACAATTTATAGTATTTATAATAATCTAATTTAAAATATTTACAATAATAGTTATTAATTGTTGATCAATTTATGTTGAACACTGATTATTTTTATTCCTTGAATGTTTAATTACGGTAAGGATTTTCCTTCCTCGAGCAATTTGCCTTATGGCACGATGTCATGCACCACTAGTCAAATTTGTATAGCAGCTCATTGTTTGAACATATTACAATTTCAAAAATGTGGTGAAATTTGTAATACATTTCAAGTGCAAGTAGCACCATTGTTTGTTAAGCATTTTTAAGCATCTCATTTGAAGTAATACTTTATTTTAATAAATTTAAATTGCTCTGTACTTTAAAACTAAGTTCATTCATTTTCGTCAATGTATTTTTATTTGATTTTAAAAAGTATGAATTACATTAAATAAATATTAAGTGCATAAGTCAATATTCGTTCGAAAATCCATGTTATTTTGGTCGCAGTCATAAACATCATAATTATGGTGATCGTAGCCCGTTCGGAGCTTAAAACGGAGCTTGCAGGGCTCGCAGCAGAGTTTATTCCGCGAACACAGGGTGTTCACGTGCTTGTCGAACTCCTCCCCGAAGTTGGTGACGAAGCCGCACCGGCTGCTCCGGCGGCGGAAGAACCGACCGTTCAGTTCCAATATGCGAAGCTCGCACTCGATATATTTAACGAAAAGTCGAAATCTTTGCTTCACGCTTTTCTGGTACATCTCAGGCGTTTGCTCTACTATCCTTTGCGGTCTTTGGTACTTTTCCGCAACCTTTATTCGTTTTTTTTTGATCTGCCTATATTAGAAAAGTTTTATGTAGTTACATTTTAAACCATACATGAGTACATAGTTTTCAGAAATTGTTCTTGGTTGTAAAATGAGGTACAAGTTTTTTGAGATATTAATATAACACATAGTTATATAGCAATTTTATTTTAATTAATTATTAAAATAACATAAATTAAAAGATTTATAAATGTACTTTTCATCAAACCATGACAATTGTTTTAAACAATGTTTAAATTATTATTAGATTATATTAATTTTTTTTAATATTTAAATAATTTGTTATATAACTATGTGTTATATTAATTAGTGCTCTCACTGATTATTTGTATGCACTGAAGATGAGTCAAATAGACACTACAATAGACATTTTTTTTTATTAAATATTTTTAGTTATTGGATGGATGCCCAAAATCATTTCATCGTATGTATGTATGTATATATATATATATATATATATATATATATATATATTAGGGTGGTCCTTAAAATGGTCATTTTCGAATTTCCTTGCTCCCATGGGCTCAAATGGTTCCAAATAGGTAAAAAACAATTCTCTGAAAGTTTTAGCTCTTAATATTAACGTTTAGATAGAGCGCAATTCAATCAAAGTTTGTATGGAAAGAGCATGGAAAAAAATTTGAAAATTAAAAAAACATGTTTTAGGTGTAACTTAGCGATAAATGAATGAGTTTTATTCATTCATTTGTTCGCTAAATTACATCTAAAAAACATTTTTAAAAGTTTTGAAAATTTTTCCATGCTATTTCCATACAAAACTTTGCTTGAATTGCGCTCTATCTAAAAGTTAATATTAAGAGCTAAAACTTTCAGAAAATTGTTTTTTATCTATTTGGAACCATTTGAGCCCCTGGGAGCAAGGAAATTCGAAAATGACCATTTTAAGGACCACCCTAATATATATATATATATATAACACAACAAATACAACAAAATTAGGCTCGTATCATGATTGAATAATCTTCTCGTTATGACACTTCATGACATACATTATATAGCTAACAAAATAATTTGTATTTTTTCAAAATGCATTCAAAGATTCAATAAATTCATACTTTATTATAAAACTTCACTAATATCTGTAAAAACAACGATGACAAAAAAAATATTTTGATAATAAACCCGAATTGGAACAAACATCTAAACCTATCGCCTAAATTTTGTTTTTGCAAATAAAAAATCAATTTATAATTTAATCATAGGAAACATTTACCAACCTCGTCCATAGCTGCATGCAACATTAGTAGTTCGTCTCAAAACTAGTGACTTAACAAACGAACAAATGAACATTTCGTTTCGTCTCGTTTTTGAACAAATGAACATCGTCTGAAATCTCTAATATCGAATAAGCAACCAATGCGAAATTTCCAATAATGAATATATTTTACGTACTTTACAAAATATATTCTACACTTCTACATCATGATTCAATATCTACCTCATATTATTATATCCGTACTTCATCATAAAATTCAAAGTTAGTTAATTCATTTTTGTGTGGGGTGAAATATAATAAATTGGAACAACTAACTATTAATTCTTATACTGTATTTAATTTATCAAATAAATTTTTATGGCCATTGGTAAATATCTCTTATTCCCTCGCTACCTCATTTGAAAGAAACCTTTGCAACAATATATATTAACTTATTTTTAGTGTTTCTGGAAGGCTGTGGTTGATAATTCTCTTCTTGATGATAACACAGGCCAACAAAAAAAAGTTTTTTTTTTGGTGCCTCAAATGTTAGAGCTGATTCTTATAGTATTTTTTGCGCTGATTTCAAATCTGCAAACCATTTTTTTGTATCAGCTCTAGTTTTTGAGATACGAAGAAGTTGCCGAAACCAGGTCCATTCGAGGTCGTCACGGAAAAGAACTTTTCACAGTGTCAACTAATGTCCCAACTAAGGCCGAATGGGTCTTGTAAGTTTGTATGTACAAGTAGGCATATCTCATTACAATAACATTCTGAATTGTATTACTATTTTGTACTTTCGTTCCTTATATTAGGTGCGCAACTAAGTTCTCGCTGTTTGTCAGTATATGGCTTTATCAGTAAGGGTTGGTCGATTTTGACAAATCCAAAACGTCTTGAAGCAAGCTTAGAGTAAGTAAGCAAACTGCTGCGGCACCTAATTGATTTCGTTTTTGCATTATATACTTCTGGTTAAGTGAATATGCCCAATTTTATGCCAAACAATCGTCATTTGCGGGGAGTGTTGATTTTCGTCTTCCATTAAAAAAAAACGGTTGCAAAGTGCATCGAGACCTACGGAAATGTTGCTCTGAGCGAAACAACAGGCCGTGAAGGGTTTTGTCGCTTCAAAAATGGTGATTTTGATGTTGACGACCACCCTCGTGAAGGAAGGCCAAAACCTTCAAAAATGCTAAATTGAAGGCCTTGTTCGAAGAGGATTCGTGCCAAACTCAAGAAGATCTTGCTTTAGAATTAGGAGTTACCCATCAAACCATTTCCAAGCTATAGCATGCGTCGGGAATGATTTAGAAGTAAGAAACTTCGGTTTCTTGTGAGTTGAAGCCAAGAGACGTCGAGCGTCGTTTTTTCGCCTGTAAACAACTGCTCCAGCGGCGAGAAAAGAAGAGGTTCTTCATCACATCGTGACAGGTGATAAAAAATAAATACATTACAGCAATCTAAAGACGAGAAAATCTCGGTTCGGCCGAATATTCACTTCGAAGGTTATGGCTCTACATATGGTGGGACCAGGTCGGTGTTATTTGTTATGAGCTGTTGAAGCCGAGTGAAACCATCACTGGACAACTGTATCGAACTCAATTGATGCATTTTTTTTATAATAAAGTTACATTTTCATCGAAAAAACAGCGAGAACTTAGTTGCGCACCTAATATCGTAAAATATATCATATATATCGTATCTTGAAAACTAAAGCTCATAGAAAAAAAACAATGTCATTTTTGAAATCAGCGCCCCAAATATACGTAAAAACAGTATTAAAATCGTTTGCACCATTTTCTTTGTTGACCTGTGTAATATATTCGATATATTTCTATTAGTAATGTTAAAATATATTTTGTCATATATCCCATAGATTAGTGGTTAGAGCTCTGACCTTATAACCATAAAGCTCCTGGTTTCACTTATTTGAAAATATAGATGGGAATATTATTCTAATTGAAACTAGTCATTTTTGGGGTTCATTACGGATCTAAAATTTTTACATAACTTGAAGTAAAATATGCCCAAAAAAGGTTTGAACTAGCTGTAAGTGGAATTCTGTCTTAAGGCAATTAAGGCATCGTGCCTTAAGGCAATTAAGGCATCGTGCCTTAAGGCAATTAAGGCATCGTGCCTTAAGGCAAATTGCTGGAACTTCCCGTACCAAAAATTATTATTTTTTTAAAAACGATTAACATTTTTGAAAAAAATTTACATTGAAAAAATAAGATTTTTGAGAAACTATAAATTGGACAAAAAATTACTTTTTTTTGAAAAAAAAAAGATTTTTTAATTTTTTTTTTTTTGAAAAAAATTTTTTTTTTCTTTATTTTGACATATTGTGGAAGATCTGAACTTTTTTTTCAAAGCAATCGTACTGCTTTAACTGCATAGGGACAAAATATAAAGCGCGTAAGCGCCGCGTCGCTGTCTAACGCATAAGCATTGGTACGGAACCCATAGGAATGTTAACAAAATGTATACTTATTGTTAAAATCTCTATAAAATATCTGATAATTTGATGTGCATATGTCTAATGATCATTTTTGACCGCCAAATGGCTCATTTTTTTACTTTTTCCTCCATATCTCCGAAACCGCTAGACCTACCTTCATGAAAATTCTATCGATGTTTCATCTTGTCAATACAAGTGAAACGTTTTTTAAATTATTCAAATCGGACGCTCCGTTTTCTTAAAAACTGAGTTACCGTTTTCGGCACTTTTTGCCCCGTATCTTCGGAACGGCTAGACCTGCCTTCGCCAAAAACTAATCAGCACGTCTCCTTATCAATACGAATCGAATGTTTTTTAAATTATTCAAATCGGTTGATCCGTGTTTCCGAAATCGTCGACGAAAATTTGTATCCGCACATACACACACACACGTACATACATACACACACACACACACACATACATCCATTTTTTCTAAGGTATGCCAAAATGTTCAGAAACCTCTGAAACGTAAAGATATATAAAAATTTTCATTTTCGATTTTTTTGCGATTACTATAACTTACCCTACGGGAAGTTAAAAAGCTAGTATTCCGGAAAAAATTAATAATTTAAAGAAATTACTTTCGCATCTTTTAAGTTGACGAAGCGTCAGCATACCTTAAGCGTTTTTATACAATCTAAGAAGTATGTTCTGCGCAAAAATCCGATTTGCTTATTTTATGCTTTCGCGAGATTTTAAATCATACCAAATTGTAACAAAAAAGTATGTGTGTGTATATGAACTGATTTTTGACTTTTTGTCGACAATTTCTCAAAAACGGCTGGACCGATTTCAAAAATTTAAAAGCTATTCTATGTATCCCGGTAAGGACTATCGTTGATCTACTACAAAAATGCTACTCATTTTTTCAAATTTTGTCGTAGGTCTGTAATATTTTAGTACGTTCTAGAAGACCATGATATTCGAATCTTGTTCACTTTGAAGTGAACAAACTTTTTCATTTTTCTGCCATTTACAAAGAAACGGTTCGGCCGATCGTAGCGCAAAACTGGCAAACGATAGTCCTCATCGAGATACATTGAATGGCTTTTAAATTTTTTAAATCGTCGACGAAAAACACGCACACACATACTTTCTCAAATTTGGTCTCATTCGATTCAGAAGGGCTCAAAATGTCGAGAAAACATAAAATTAGTAAATCGGACTTTTTTTATGAAAACAAACTTTTCGTTCGGGAAGTTAAAAATATCACTTAAATGCAAATTGTAATTCAACACGATGCCTACATAAGTTTAATTTTATTTTTCAGTTGACGTCGATGCTTTTGATTACGTCTGGTGGAACGATTCATGCAATTTACAGTGATTTTCGTCATTTCTTGAGCGAGGCATGGTTCTCCCCTGCTACCATCATGATAGCCGTCGGAGTGCTCATGTTCTTCATTTCTGCTTTCGGCTGTTGGGGCGCCATCAAGGAGAGCACATGTATGATTAATACGGTAAGTTTCTGAAATGACTATGAATTTATCTAAAATGAATGATGAATTTTTAGAAAATGACTTTGTTCATTATTTAATAAAAATTATTATAAATTCTGTGCAAAATTATGAAATTTTCATTACATTTACTTCGTGTCCAGTAACAAGCTCAAATACATAGTAGAGTAGCTAGGCGCTATATGTAACGTGGGTAACTAGTAACACGCGTTTTTCAATAAAATCCTGCATAATATTGCCATAGCTACTATTCTCCAAGCCGTCAATTTTAAATTTTATATATCTTATTTCGCTTCAAATTTATCAATCTTTGAAAATGTGTAACAGTTTTTGTGATTGCTAAATTGTATAAACAGTTATCTTGATTAATGTAAAAAATCACATTTCGGGTCAGTTGAAACAAAATCTTGGGGCTAGTTGTACCATACAAAAATTAATTACAGATTCAAGTGAAAAATATTGGATGTAATATATAGTTTGTAACCTGTGGGCGCATGTAAATTTTGTTACAGGAGACACTAAATCTTTTATTTGTATTATGATATTAATATAAATGGGTTCGTTGATTTATGATAATAATTTGTATTACAAATATTACATATTTTATTTATGCGTTGATGTATGAAAAGAATTACTTAGAAACAAGACAATTTTCTAAAAAATGAGCAAAGAATTAATTATCAGATGCATTACTGTCGTTTTGTTGTTACTACTTGACTTGGTAGACGTTACAACTAGCCCTAAATACACAGTAAGTTTTTAACACTGCTTTTTTTCTAGAAAATGTTTAATTGTGAAATATTGAACAATAGTCCATCTTTATTTTGTATATTATCAGTGAGTCTCAAAATCTATTTATTTAAAAAAAAACTGTTACAACCAGCCCCTAGCTTTCCTACCTGACCTATTGCTTGTATGTCACAAATTATTTCAATTTTTTGTTTTAATCACTTGATTAGTATTGGAGTGGTCTAGAATAAGACATCGCAAACGTGTACTTTTCAAAATTAACTCATTTTTAAAATCGTATCGAATCAAGGTCGAGAATTTTACAGTTTTTCTCATGCAAGAATTTGTATTATTTACATAAATCATTTTTAGAAGATTATTGTGATAGATTATTATTTATTAATTAATAGATAATAGATATTTTACTTGACAAATAAACTTCCAACGTATAATTTTTGGGCTATGTCATTTGTAGTGCCAAGTACTATGTTCTATGTATATAACAAATTACTAAGTATTATGGATGATTTTTTTTAAATATAAATAAAATATCCGAAAGTGTCATGGAATCTGATGCAAAAACACACTTACATCTAATCATATTTTTAAAAAATATGAATGAGTTTCACCACTGATTTAATGAGATAAAATAATAATTTATCAAACACTCGCCGTAATATTATAATTTTAAAATATAGATTACTTTTTTTGACAAATACATAATAATTATTGTTATTGAAATTTTATTATTTCAAATAATTATAATACATTTTTTAATAATTTAAAATTTGATATCGTATTCTTTCAGAGGCTTTCATTATTAGAAAATTGCTTCTATGTTATAACCAATTTTCTAATAATGAAAGGTATAACCTATACCTATAAAAACTTCATATTTTATTGACAAAAGTAATGGTAATTGCACTTAACGCATTGAATGTGAAACAAAATAAGATGAGAAACCAAATAATTATATTTTATAATGTTTTTTTCTAATCGATATAAAATCAATCTTAATGCGTTTTGATTAAAGTTACTTATAAGTTGTATGAGATAGAAATTTTTAATTGTTCAAAATAATTATCGGCCGTAAATTACTAGGTTTTAAAATAATTAAAGCAATTTATGGTACGTTTCATCTCGCCTCTCACTTCTGATATAACACCTGGCCTAAAATATGCACAAGTTGATCAAAATATTGTTTTTCGACAGTTTGGAGCAATGCTGGCAGCGATATTCATTATTGAGTTTGGAGGAGCGATTGCTGCATTCGCCTGCCAGTCGCAAATCGCAGGCATCATCCGCAGTAAAATGGAATTTGCCGTCCATAACTTTGACCAAGCGTCAACTGAACGACAGGAGGCGGTCAACTTTTTACAAGATAGGGTGAGTTTATATACTTCTTGGAACAAAATATAGAGTATGGTTAACTCTCGTAGAACGCGGTGAATGAGTACCACGTAATATGACAACCGCGCTGTAGGAAACTTAGACTGACCGTACAAACTAGCTAATTCGTAGCGCGTTCTACGGAAACCGGATAATGCGTAATACAAATAACATCATTTAGAACGCGTGATATGTAGACTAATAAATGACAGGATAAGTTTTAAATTCTTTTCATTGAATTGAATAGTTTATTTAAGGGGGTTGTTCTCGAAATGTATTTATCATAGACATGCGGTTTTTTTTAAAACAAAAATTACAAAATCATAGAATATTAAGAATTTTTTTATTATTTTTTTTCGACGTCATTTTTTAACCAGGGGGCGCCAAAGTGGGCTTTGCTAAATCGATCTCTTTTGCGGTGCCACAGATGAATCCGTTGCGCATCGCCTGAAACAAAAACAAAAAAAAACTACGTTGAAGAAGAAGTTTGAATCCAGTCCTCCTACCAAAATAAAAGGAAAAAAGCAAGAAGGAAAAAATGGTAGCTATTTAAAAAAAAAGTGTTAAAAAGGGCCTTTTTTGAGACGAGAAGCTTCGCAACATTTTTTTTGCGTAATATTATGAAGTTGTTTGAGGTAGGGGCACTAGGTATTGTAGTGGTGAACAAATTAAAAAAAAAAATACATGTCCACACGGCTTGTAGTTTTTTTTAAATTTGTGGCACTGCATTGAAAAAAGTCATTTTGAGAAAAACGTATTTAAAGTTTTTAATATAATGTACTAAATAGACCATGGTGTTCAAAGATGCTGACACATTAAAAAGGTCATGTGCATGAGGTATTATAATGAAAGAGAGAGCAGCTGGCATACAATAGCTCGCGGAGCGATGAAAAAAACGGTTTCAGAGGATCATACATATAGATATATATATATATATATCTATAACTTCGTCAAAAAAATAGATATTGAGATGATTTTTTTTAAATAATTCTAAGGTTTTTAGCTTTCATAATATCAAAAAATCTCAAAATCGAAAAAAAAAAATAAATAAAAACCGAACAACCTCCTTAAGGATGTGATAAACAAAAACTAAAATTATATATGAAATAGAACAAAAACTAAACTCGTGATGTATGGCATCGTGCTTTAAGGCAAATTGCTATAACTTTCCGTACCGTAATGAAATATTCGAGGAATATTAGATGTTTTCAAATAAATTATTTTAAATACTGTAAATTTTATTATTAGAATTTTGTAGACAAAATATAAGAGCATATAAATTAGCAAAAAAGTAAATAAACAAAACTTGATCAATCGGATTTAAATTAAAAGGCATTGTATAATATTTATAAAAAAAATATACAAACTGAATTGCAAAGTTAAAAATATTTATTTGAGGTATATAATTGATGTTTAGAACTTTAGCTAAAATTAGAATTAAAATCCGAATTATTTTTGATATTCAATAAAAATATTTTTTGGATATTAAAAAAACAAAAAAAAAATTGCTTACTTGCACATTTAGCTCCGTAACTCCGAAACTAATAACCACTTCTCCCCATGATTACAAATTGAACATTTATTTTGGTTCATTTAAATCGGATGTTCCGTTCTCTTAAACACTTGACTTCTATTTACTGCACTCTTTGCTTCATATCTCCGAAGCCGCTGGACCTGCTTTTGCCACAAACTAATTAGCCATCTCTCTATCAATAAAAATCGATTGCTTTCTGAATTATTTAAATCGGTTTATTTGTATGCCCAAAATCGACGACAAATTGTATCCACACATACACATCCAATTTTTCTCAAGTATGCCAAAATGGTCAGAAACCTCTGAAACGTGAACATATGTAAATAATTTTATTTTCGATTTTTGGACGATAATAACTTACCTACGGGAAGTTAACTAGTGGTGCATGGCATCGTGCCTTAAAGTAAAATGCTGTAATTTTCCGTACCGTAATTTAAAATATTTAAAATCTTTAATTTTTTTTACTTCTGAAGAATTAGATATTTTTTGATGATCTTGAAATTTTGAATATTTTAAAAGAGATAGACCGCGTAACTGTTTTAGGGAAAAAATATCGAATTACGAAAGCACCGCATACGAAACCCATAGAAATGTAAATTAAAGTTGCACTTAATAATAAAATCTCTATAAATTATCTGACAATTTGGTGTGTATACGTCTAAAGATCATGTTTGACCGCCAAATGGCATGTAGTTTAACTTTATTTTACTAGATTGTTCAAACCGCTGGACTTGCCTTTGCGAAGATTTAATCAAATATTCATTTCTTCAATACAAGTGAAATCTTTTTTGAATCATTCCAATTCGATACTCCATTCTCTTAACTGATTTGCCCTTCTCGACTGCTGAAAGGAAACCGCATTATAGAAGGGATGTTGAAATTTCAGCTTCGCTTAATATAAACTCCGTGTTTTCAGAGTACATTTTATTAAATTTTTTGCTGAATATTTTATCTCTCGTGCACTGAACCACCTATATATGATGCATATATTTACTTGAACAATTTTTTATAGTATAGACAGATAGTCCATATTTAATAATAAATCAATTTCTCAGAAAATAGCAAAGTAAAACAGAGATAGATTGAATTTCACTGTATTAGGAATAGAACAATTGCCCATTGGGGCACTTTCCTGGAAAATCACTCACACACTGGTTTGCCTTTAACATCGAATGTTGATTACATTTAATATCTAATTGTATGAAAATAATTGCAATAAATAATTAGCAACCTCTTTGTCGAAATAACTAAATAGAGTTAAAAAAAAAATATTTATTTTTAATTAAACGTTTCGACACTTGATGTGTGTCAATATTCAGCAAGTCAGACAGGACAATTTTGATTTTCATCAGTGTGCCATCTTGATGTCAACTTTGAACAGTTATTTTAAACTTTGAACCTTATTGCGCCTAAAAATGTACAATTCTGTATGTATAGCAAATGATAATTATCACAATTATTTCATTATAATCAAACCAAAAATGATTGTAGTAAAAACTGCTAATGGGCTATTATTTTGAGTCTGTTAATCTTGAACAGTTGTATTATACTATATTTTATGTTTTTTTTGCTTTTTTATTAATTATACTAATTATGATAACATTAACGAAGTATCGTTTGTCCTAACAATATGAAAAAACAAACACGTATTTATCAGCAAATTAAAAATACTTGTTTTTCCAACATGGTCTATATCAGTATAACAATGAAAAGATTTTTTGAATTGATTCCAATTTTAGAAATTTGCTCGATTTTTTTTTATATATAAAAAATAGCTACTCTTATGAACACCATGATTATTACCACGATATTGACGAAATAAAGTATTTAACTTTTTTAGTATTAATCATTATTACTCAGATTTTTAACTCAATATACAATAAAATAATCAAATTATCCTATCATTCGCCATTCTATTTCAAACAATCAACCTTCTCATTATCTTTCTAAATAGGCCAAATAAAAATAAAAATAGATGTAATTGAATATCAATATACATAAATAATGTATAGTAAAAAAATACGTTGAGTCATTTAGTACGAGATTTAATTCACGTATTTCACATATTTGCAACAGGTCATGAAATCTTCTAATTAATTAGTAACAGTATGTAATTTAAAAGTTGTTCGATCTTGAGATAATGGCCATCATTTATATTATTCAGAATTAATTTATATCATTTAAATCTTTCAATTGAAAAAAACGAAACATGTGCGAAATGATTGTGTGATGAGTTGCGCATGTTATGATTACTGTAAATATTGAAACAGATTTACAAAAAAGATATTTTTTGTTTGCCATAATTTTAATATTGATACAATATTTGCAAACGACTACTATACAAAAAAGTCAATATGTTTCAGAACAACTTTACATTAGTTTTATAATATTATTCTATAGTTTTATAATAATATAATTATATACTAGCGCAGGATTTGGACAAAAATATTTGGATTTAGTAGACAAAATTTAGATATAATCTAAAAGTGTATGAAATACATTGAATTCAAAAAATCAGGGCGATTTGCGGGTTGATCATAATCAAATATTTTCAATTATTTTTAACGTATGTGAATTATTAATATTTGGGTTTTAAAACATTTTACTTATTTATTATGCGATTTATTCTATTGAGCAAATCATGCCAAGAGAGCCCTTCAGATTGTTTTGAAGTTAAATTTTAAAAGTATTGTCCAATGATTAGTAAAAGATGCATAGAAATTACATATTGCTCGAACTATATTAAAAAAAAACTAATTATATTTGTAGCTGCATTTTTTCTGCATAGTTAGTAATTCAATTTAGCGTATGGACACCACTAGGTATAAAAAAAGTTCAATTTTTGTTCCAAAGTAAATGTTGCTTCCATTTTTCATATTTGCTTCATTTCCATAACCCTAACCACGCATGTCTTCAAAATTCAAAGTTCATCAGATGCAAAATATTTGCAACAAAAACAAAAGTTACAATTCAATTGTTCGGAATAAACAATCCATTTTCTAAATACTGACTCCCCAATTTCCATTTTTCTCTATTATTGATTGTATATATTTTTTAACAAGTTCCGTTCCAACTAAATCAGCTTACAATTTTTCGTGAATAATGCCCAATAATTAATTTAATCTTTCGCAGGTTTGCGCTTACGGGATTGAACACCAGATATTTTTTTTTCGATTCCACATTAACTTCAAACGAAGAAAAAATTGAATGAGTATATTAAGCAATAAGCAGAACAATAATTTGTAGAGTTACTAATCGGTTAATTGTTTCTACTATTATCACATTGCAAAATGAATATGCTTTTTGTGTCTCTGTAACCATAGTTAAGTTAGATTGTGTATTATAATCTATTAGGATTTTAGATTTTATATTTAAAAATAAAATATAAATAATATATTATAAATTTCATTTTCGAATATCGTTTTGGCGCCCCCTAAGGCGTGCGCCCGCATTTTTCGCATGCAAGCTGCATCAAGGTACAGCCCGCTATTGGTTAACCGCACTTGGTGTTTTATCTGAACTTTTTCACACCCCCTTTCTAAACTTTGGCATATCATATTTTCCATTATTTTTTCGTATTTTACAACAAGAAAATACTTCTCATAATTTCTAGTACATGTGTAGAAGTAAGGAATTTTCATGGGTACGACTGCAAGGTCTTCGAAGTTTGAAATTAAAACTAATGACATGACCTCAACAAAGTCTACTAATTATGACTAAAATTTTATCAAATAAGAATATAAATAAACAATAAAAAGGAAAGAATTCATAATCTTATAATAGCCATAAAATACCTACAATTGAGTTAAAAGTATTAATAAAAACTTCACAAAAAGCTTGCTTTTTACTTATGTTTTACAAAGTTTATCAGTCTTCCAATTACAAACGTTATTCGACTAAATAGTTCAATTAAATTGGAACAGATAATATTATTTATAAATATGGAACAAAATATAACCGGAGTACGACTTAAGCTGTGGTAAGACTTAAGCTGTGGTACGACTTACACAACCTTTTCTATAACCTATGTGTGTGTGTGTTATATAAGTTCTGAATCAATAATTCAGATGTGTTGTTTTAAAAAAAATAAGTAAATCTCCATTTAGAGTGTCGTATTAATGATTATAGTAAGAATTGAGTGTTTAGAATTGCAAAAATAACATAATTATATGATGCTTTCTAAACCGTGCCATATGGCTTTCAATCGAAATAATTTCGTTTGTATATTTTTTCACGCCCGCAATATAGATTGGATAACGAGCACAGTGAAATTGAAACGAATGATTTTATAACACCTATATGAATCAATAGATGAAGAACAACGAAAAAAACATCTTAGTAATTTGTAATTAGAGAGCTGGTGCTTCACACATTTCGATTTGGTCTGTGAGTTTAAAATGCGAATTTTCAAACTTCTCTTTTATTTTCAGAAACCAATCTGTGTTTTTATTTTTTTTTTATGAAAAATTATGAAAATATAAGTAATTGTGTTTATTTCTTTAATCTTTGATAGCTGATTTGACGTCTTTATTGTATTTAATAAAAAACGGAAAACAAATCATCAAATGTTATAATAATATAATCAAATAAAAGTAGTGGCGCATGGCATCGTGCCTTAAGGCAATTTGCTGAGACTTTCCGTACCAAATTTTTTTTTTAAATCTTTAAAATTTTTTGAAAACATTGAAAAGAATACATTTTTGAAAATTTACAAATATTTGACAAAATTTTACTTTATTGAAAAAAAATTTTTTTTCATATTTTGAAAATTTTGAACGTTTTTGTTATCAAAGCAATCGCGCTGCGTAGCTGTTAATGAAGACGAAGAAATTAAATAGTTAATGAAGATGAAGTATCAAAGCGCGTAAGCGTCGCATCTAAAATATCTAATATTTTGATATGCATATGTTCAATGTTCATTTTTGACCGCCGGATGGCATTTTTTTTAACTTTTTTTATTGAATCTCCGTAATCGCTGGACTTGCTTTTCCAGTTTTAAAAGTGTTTTGTTCAGTCAATATAAATGAAATGTTTTTTTTAATTATTCTAATCAGACACTCCGTTCTCTCAAAATCTCAACTACCATTTTTGCCTCTTTTTGCCCCGTATTCGAATTGGCTAGATCTCCCTTTGTCAAAAACTAATGAGCACGTCTCCTTATCAATTCGAATTGAATTCTTTAAATCGATTCCTATGGAAAGTTAAAAAAATATGTTGACCAATTGAATATAAAATTGGTATTATTTTAAACCATATCTGGTTTCAGTGGAAACTATCAGTAAAATTTTATCATTTTTTAAACAATTCAAAGCAAAATATCTATAAATTTGTGATTTTTAATTCATTAATTTTTTTAATTTGGTGTTTAGTCCAAATTAATCATCCTACAAGAAAATCATAGTTAAAATGTGTTGAAGTTTAGAAGCAACATTAAATTTGTTACACCAATGTTTCTCAAATTTTTATTTGAGATTTATAATTAGATTGCAAAGGCTTTAATCAAAGCTCCCTGATTTCTGTACCAATAAATTCTCGGTGTTTTTACAAAATGATGCAACCTGTAATACGCTTTTCGTAACATATTGGTCATGATTGATATACTACTTTTTGATTGTGCGCTCTGCCCGCCATGTGAGGAAATCGTTTGAACTCTGAGGCCTAATTTTAAGTGTTTGCTAAATACAATAATGAGCTAATCAGCACAGGTCAATTCAAAGAATTCAAATGCTTTCGTTACTAATTGCATCTTGACAATGAGAAGAGGTTTTGAAATGCCAGCCGACAGATTTTCGAAATTCAGATATTATACATGCTTTTTTCATGTCAAGTTTATTTCAAATACTTAATGCACTTTGATCTATACTGAAATATACTACTTGATCGAAAAATATTAGTCTCGATTTTGTAAAAACACTTTACATGCTCTTCGTTCTTACATTTAGGGTAGATATTCAGATCATTTAAATTTATTTTATTTATTTATTTATCTTTTTATTATATTATAAACTCATCTTGTTAAAATCTTGAAGATCCTAAAATATCGGGATTGAGTACATTGAGTATATTGTTCTCGATTTGACCAAGGGGCTGGTCAAACCCCATTGAATCAACCCTTTATATTTAAGAGTAAAGAGCAATAAGAATTCACAAACATAAATATTTGTAAATTATTATAATCTATAAATAAGTAAAATATAACGTTTAATTAAACACGTGATCTCTACAAAATATGTTATTTTTAAAAGTTAAAATAATTATTACTATGTATGAATTTGTTGAATAAAACAGTACAAAATATATATTTGAATTGATATATTCTTAATTTGAAATTTCAATTAAATAAATTATCATTATCGTTATAATTTATTTATTTACAAAAAAAACTTAATAGTACATAGTATTTTAGATTCTTGATAAGCTTATTCATATAGTAACCATGGAACATTTTTGGTAACTTTTAAATTACGGTAACAGCGTCCATCAAATTGCGAGCTGTGTAAAAATTAAAAAAAAATTCAATTGATTTTTATTTGTTATTGATCAACTCTATCATATATCGGCAAATTATGTAACTAGACCAAGTCCAAATGCAACTTGCTTCTCGTACATACGTTTTCATATGTACGAGGCGTAAGTTTTCACTTATAAAAATATAATGTAGGGAAGCTAGGGGTTGGTTGTAACAGTTTTAAATTAATATATCTTGAAATCTACTGATTATATTTCTACGAAATAAAGACGTATAGTTTTTATAATTGTTCCTCTACCAAATCAAATCAAATTAATTCCATAACTGTTGTTCAATATTTCACAATTTAACATTTTCACTAGAAAATGTGCGGGATTACAACTACCTCTCGTTTGACGGACGGTTTACATAATCAATCAAGACAAAAAGTATTTTTATATCTTTTAAGATCTTATTGAACAACGCTTGTTTCTATTTACCCCCGTTACATAAAGCCCTTAGTTCCCCTATAATTCGTTATACTATTGCTTTTTAATCTTGGGCTCAATTTATTTCGTATTTATAAGTGTTCTAATTCAATAATGCCGCGTGTACAATTTTATTATATAATTTAATTGACACCATATTTTTATGTTCATCAGCTTTTCTGCTGTGGAGTGGATGGACCTAGTGACTGGTCTCAATCAAACTTCACCATACCTAAATCCTGCTGCAATCGACGTTACGAATCTGCCAGAATGTTTGACGGCGATCAAATGCGCTTATCGAGCGCACTACAATTCCAAGATGGTGTCCCCGTTTACCCTTCAGATGTGGAAGCTTTGAACTACATCCAGTCTGAAGAAACTCGACAAAGAAGAGAAGCACCCCAAGAACAACAAACAACAGTTGGTCAAAGTACTGCCGAGGATTCTGCTACTACTGCTGCTCCTGGTACGACCAGCGAGGCGACGGAAACATGCGAGCCGCACGCTAGTGGCTGTTACAAAAAATTAGCTTTCCTGATCGGCTCGAGCGCGGCGATTTTAGGCTCTGGTGCCGTTACTGTAGCCCTTATGCAGGTGAAGTAATGTTTTGTTCGATTAGTAACATTTTGTTGCAAGTTGCGGTATCTGCGGTTCCCTGTTTTTTTTTTAAATGCCAGTCGACAATATTACAAAACACACCGACATTTTCTTAAAAATATATTTGATATTGGTCTTCGATGTTCATATTGTCTGCATATACCGATATGTCAGATTGATTATATAGAATATAGATTACAATAGAGTCAATATAACTACTTGAGTTTGCTAATTGTATGTTCTCTCGCGTTTGAAGCCATTCTGAATCGAATGAGACCAAATTTGGAAAAATTGTCAGTGTGTGTGTGTGTGTGTGCGTGCGTATATGTGAACAGATTTTTTGCCTTAAATCGACGTTTTCTCAAAAACGGCTGGACCGATTTCAAAAATTTAAAAGCTATTCATTGTATCTCGATGAGGACTATCGTTTATCAATTCTGCGCGACGATCAGCCAAGCCGTTTCTAATGTAAATTGCAGAAAAGTGAAACATTTTTCGTCTTTGTTTTAGCCGGCAATTCTAAATCGATTTTGAAAATTCAAAAACCGTTCGAAAGATACTGGTTGGGAATCGTGCTGATTAGTTTTTGGTAAAAATCGGCCGGGCCGTTTTCTTGAAATTAACTGTTGAAAAAAAATGTCGATTTTTATGAACCTTTTTTTGACAATAGATATCATGGTCTTGACATACTAAAAGAGCCGTAACCCCTACGACAAATAGTTTAATGTTAAAAATTCATCAAAGTTTGTCAAAAGTTGCTATTGTGATGTGATGTGAGTCAAACATTATCAATTCCTTAAAATTTAAAATAACTAGTGGGGTGGGTGGCATCGTGCCTTAAGGCAAATTGCTGGAACTTCCCGTACCGTAACGAAATGTTCGAGGAATATTGAATGTTTTCAAATAGATTATTATAAATATTGTTACATTGTCTAATATTTATAAGAATGATATAAACTGAATTGCAGAGTTGAAATTATTTGTTTAAAGTATATTAGAACTATAGTCAAAATTAAAAATAAAATCTGAATTATTTTTGATATACAAATAATTAAAAAATTTTTTAAAATTTTTTTTTTAATTACAAATAATTAAAAAAGAGACAATTTTTTTTTCCAAAATCAATTATTTTGTTAAGACAAGCAGAAAGTTCTTTGAATCAATTGAATCGGACGCTTAGTTCTCTCAAAAACTGCCATTTTTTGTACATTTAGCTTTGTATCTCGGAAATGGCTGGGCCTGCCTTTGCGAAAAACTAATAACCCCTTCTCCCAATTATTACTAATTGAATGTTTTTTAGATCATTTTAATCGGATGCTCCGTTCTCTCAAAAACTCGATTTCTATTTTCTGCACTCTTTGCTCCTTATCTCCGTAACTGCTGGACTTGCCTTTGCCAAAAACTAATCAGCACATTTCCTTACCAATAGGAATCGAATGTTTTTTAAACCATTCAAATCGGTTGATCCGTACGCCCGAAAACGTGGGCGAAAATTTGTATCCATACATACATGCACACACACACACACACACATACACACACACATACACATCCATTTTTTCTGAAGTATGCCAAAATGTTCAGAAACCTTCAAAACGTCGAGAAATGTGAAAATTTTGAATTCCGATTTTCGGCCCATTACAATAACTTACCCTACGGGAAGTTAATAAGCAACACTTTTAGGGCATACATAATTACAGTTAATTTAAATGTGTTTGAAAAAATTCTATTCGAAATCGCAATGTTTAGATTTAATTGAAAGGGATAACATTATTTTTGAAATAAACAGTTGAGAATTTTATCTACAAATATATAAATTTCAATTTTGATTGATTAAGTCAATTCTTACACATTTCGGGAATTTTATGCAACTTGCCATAAGTCTAAATGCCACTTTCAATTAGTTTTTTTTTTTTAAATTAAATATCTAACCGCATAAGCACTGATTCGCAGTCTATTGGACAAACATTGGTACGAAACCCATCGAAATATAAACAAAATTTGTACTTATTATCAAAATCTCTATAAAATATCTAATAATTTGATGTGGATATGTCTAATGATCATTTACGACCGCCTTCGAAACCGATCTATTTGCCTTCCCAAAAATTTAATCAATGCTTTGCATAGTCAATACAAATTAAACATTTAAATTTTATACTTTTGAATCAATCTAATCAGACTCTCTGTTCTCTCAAAAACTATTACCATTTTTGACACTTTTTGTCCCGTATCTTCAAAACGGCTGAACCTGCCTTTGCCAAATACTAATCAACATGCCATTAATCGAGTCCAATGTGTTTTGAATTATTCAAATCGGTTGATTCGTGTTCCCGAAATTGTTGACAAAAATTTGTATCCGCACACACACGCACATACACACACACACACACATATATATATATATATATATATATATATATATATTTATATACATTTATTTTTTCTAAAGTATGCGAAAATCTTCAGAAACCTTTAAAACGTAAATATATATAAAAATTTTCATTTACGATTTTTTTTTTGCTATACTGTAATATACTATATGCGAAGTTAAAAAGTTTTGAACAGAAATTGAATAAAAGCAATTGTTATAAAAAGTTTCTATAAAAATATAATTTGTCATTCTTACTCAGGTTTTGTTTCACTAATATTGTTTGGAACTTATCTTTAGTAGAAATAAACAAATATCAAGACAAGATATAGATTATTATTTGAAGTATCTTTTACATAGTTTTCGTAACCACTTCAATGCGAAGGAATTTAAAAATTATTCTGAAGTGTATATTCAATACTAATAAAATTTCAAATTAGACTCTATAGATCTAATCTAATCTTCTTTATGGGTAAAGTATTAGTGTAGGTTTCTCTGTATTTACAGGTTTGAAGTACAATTACGTTTTAAATTATTCAGATACAATTAAATCGTTTTGCTATGCGTTTCATAAAAAAATTGTATGGAAAATTTTATAAGAGAATTAAAATAGTAACAGAAGTTGACCAAGCATAATTACTATTTATCGATCTTCTAAAACATGATTCGTTTTCTTTGAATCGTACATTTTACTGGTTTATAAAATTTCATAATGGCTTAATGGATTTCGTGACTTATTGATAAGTGTAACTAAAATGTCTATATATCATAATTTAAAAATGGAACCAGTTGTTTATTCATGGCGTGTCGCACTGATTACCGATGCCGATTCTACATAACTTCGAACGTGGGATAAATTCAACGAGACGAAATACTTCGATATATCAATACAATGAATCTCTTGCGCGCATTTACATTTGGTAATCTTTTCTATGTTGTTAAAATTGCGACATAACTTTTTTCATTTAGATTTCAAATGCAATGAAGCCAATTGGATACCGGTTAAATTGAGGATCATTGGGATCAGTCACAAGTACCGGTATATTTTCTTAACTTTCATTCGTTAAAATCAATTATTATTGACGAAATTCACTTTCAAAGTTTAAAAAATTGTTGATTATTATCGGTGTATGGTACTTTTGAGTATTTCAAGCAATTAAGTCATATTGAATGATTTATGTAACTTTATTTGCCAAATTTAATGTATTATTAGCACGAAAAACAACAAATTCCATGGTGCGTACTAAATATTAAGATCGAAGGCTAAGTACCATATTTCGAGCAAATTTGTGTGTTCGGGCTATAAAAATATCGAAGTAATGAAGGATAATAAATGTTGCATTTTTATAATTATTCTCCAATTACGGTCAACATTAATTGTAAATGATGGTAAATGTTTTTTGCAACAACGCTAATATTATGTTGTAAATGATATGCAATAACATCAATAAACTTACGTACGATACTTCTCTTTATATGTTGTTGACCTTAGGTTTTTTCATTTGAGATGATCTAAATAAACAAAAAGTGTGAACTGGTTCTTTTGTAGATCATCTGATTGTGAGATTTTTATATCACCACGTCGTGCGCTATTTTATATTTTGTCTAGAGGTCGAATGTTAAAGTATAATTGCACTTGCGGTATTTGCATTTGTTTTAAATATGCTAATTAAACTTTACTCAATCCAATTCATTACTCAATTCGTCTTATTAGTATAAATTGCCATTTCAAATTGCTCTTGAAAAATCTGCACACAATATGTTTGTATTCGACTATGGATCTCTTAACACATTTTACATTTTATTGATTTTTTTTTGAAAAATTAACTTAATAATGCAACATTATTAAGTTAATCTTACAATGTTGCGTTAATATCTTATTGTTAACATTGTATTTTACTTTCATAATTAATATTTCGGCGTTTGAGTGTACGCGATAAGATAAGATAATTAAAGTGATATAAATAAATAAATAAATATATATATATATATATATATATAAATTTTTTGTTGAAATATGTGAGATTAAATCTTCAGCAAAACCAATGCAAAATGTGAACTTCTAAAGCACATTTTTTAAAAAGATTACTCTATATATAAGCTTGATCTAGTATTTTGACAGAAATATTTATCAGCAGAGTTGGAATAACCATTTATTTAATTTATCTTTTGCAAAATTGTTTTCTTTGACTTAATTTACTTTTTTATTTACTATTTTTTCTTGTTTACGCCTTTGCCAGGGTAGGGGGTTAGTTGATCCAACTTAACAATAACAATACATTCAATAAACCAATTTAATAATGTATACTTAAAAAGAAACTCCGTAAGACTTGAGGTGACGTATGGTTATACATCTTTTTTTCTCTATTTTCAAATATTGTTGTTAAAAATTCTCAACTTAACTTTTGAGATAGTGGTGGTCGATCTTCTTACCCGTGGACCCTGATGCCCTGCACTTCTCTGTCGTGTCTTTTGAGATTAATGACAAATATTAAGCATTGCATTGTTTGCGCAAATATTTTTTTTAGTTCTAGAATGTATTTTTGTGCACAATTCGAGATTTATAAAACTTGGTAAACGTAATAATTTTTCCAGCGTTTATTAAATTATGAGTTTACATATTAGAATTATTTAGTAATGATTTCGCATAAATTAAGCTTCTTGGTAACATTTGTTTCTATTATATAACAAAAATTTTGCGCTTTTGCATCATTGTTAATATAAAAAACTATTTAGTCCTTTCAATATATAATTAAGAAAAAAGAAAAAAACACATTGGCATTTGTAAGGTAATTTAATTTAAATTCATTGATGCTTCCGTACAAAGTTTTTCGGAATTTCAACCGCTTCGCACCGGCATCACCACATGTTCTTTTTTATCGCAATCCAATAATAAGACAAACAAATACAATGTGACATTTCACAAGTTCGGAATGTCATGACGCGGACGTCGGTTTATAAATAAATTAGAGCAGATAAAGTATTTCGGCGCCCGTAGAAAAAACACAGAAGCGTTTGTTGCTCACCTTATTAATATACGCGATTGCATAATTGAGTCATTTGAATATGATATGGATCACTTATCCGATGGGCATAATAGAAGATCGGCTCGCGGGCGCTTGATCGACGGCCTTGACAATAATTCATCTCGTCTTGTGGGACGTCCTTGCTACGGACGTCGTGGGAGGACGGAACGACGCGCGATGGCTCAATCGTAGCCGAGCGCACGCGCAGGCACCCTGAGCGAAATGTCGTTTGTTCAACGGATTTTACGATTTCTTGTATACTGAAACGTTTTTCATTCTTGATGAAAAACGTCAATCTTAAATGAAGATTTAACCACTTTCTACCAATTTTCCACTCATTCAATCCATTTTTCAAAACTTCGAGCTCAGATGATTATGCATAAAGTTAATCCATTTGCCAAAACATTCTAAGATTTAATTTTAAACTAGTGGGGCGCATGGCATCGTGCCTTAAGGCAAATTGCTGGAACTTTCCGTACAAAAAATTATTTTTTTAAAAAAGATCAACATTTTTGAAAAAATTTTACTTTGAAAAAATTAGATTTTTGATAAACTATAAATTTTTGAAAAAAAACATTTTTTCCGAAAAAAGAATTTTTGAAAAAAAAATGTTTTCTTCATTTTGAAACATTTTAGAAGTTATGAATTTTTTTCAAAGCAATCGTACTGCTTTAAGTCATAGAGACGAAATATCGAAGCGCGTAAGCGCTACATAGCCGTCTAACGGATAGACATTGGTACGGAACCCATAGGAATGTAAACAAAATTTATACTTATTGTTAAAATCTCTATATAAAATTTGATCATTTAATGTGCATATGTCTAATGATCATTTTTGACCGCAAAATGGCATTTTTTTTTACTTTTTTTACTAGATGTCCGAAACCGCCAGACCTGCCTTCATAAAAATTTATCAGTTCTTTATCTTGTCAATAGAAGTAAAATGTTTTTTGAATTATTAAAATCGGACACTCCGTTCTCTTAAAAACTGAGTTACCGTTTGTGGAACTTTTTACCACGTATCTTCGAAACGGCTAGACCTGCCTATGCCAAAAACTAATCAGCACGTCTTCTTATCAACAGCAATCGAATGTTTTTTGAATAATTGAAATCGGTTGAACCGTGTTCTCGAAATCGTCGGCAAAAATTTGTATCCGCACGCACACACATACATCCATTTTTTCTAAGGTATGCCAAATTGTTCAGAAACCTCTGAAACGTAAAGATATATAAAAATAAAATTTTTCATTTTCGATTTTTTGCGATTACTATAACTTGCCCTACGGGAAGTTAATATACACAATAGTATTCAATAGAATATAATAATTTAATAAATGCTTAATTAAATGCGTCTAATTATTGTCTATTATTGTGTGTACAATTTGAGACTAGCCAGAAGTTTACAAATTCAAAATTTGCTTGATAAAGAACAATAAATAAATTAATTTTTTAAATACGGTTTGTTATAAGTAACTTAGTTTATGAAATTAATAATCATTAAAATAAATTATTAAAACTATCCCTTCATTGTATTTGTTATAAATTTTAAACATTTGGTTCCAACGTTTCAAGTAGTTTCATGCAATATCAGTTGCTTTATTGTGTTCTAATATAATTGAAATGTATTATTTGTTTAAAGTAAATAGTGAATAATAATATTGAATAATTAACTTCCCATAGGGTAAGTTCATAACAATCTAAAAAAAAACTAAAATGAAAATTTTTGCCTATCTTCACATTTCAAAGGTTTCTAAACAAATGGTACCCTTTAGAAAAAACTGATGTAAGTGTGTGTATGCGTGCGGATATAAATTTTTGTCAGCGATTTCGGGAACACAGATCAACCCAATTGAATGTTTCAAAAAAACATTCGATTCGTATTAATGAGAAGACGTGCTGATTAGCTTTTGGCAAAGGCAGGTCCAGCCGTTTTGAAGATACGGGACAAAAAGTGCAAAAAATGGTAATATGTTTCTGTGAGAACGGAGCGTCTAAATTAAAAAATTCAAAAAACTTGATAAATCTGATAAAAATTTTGTGAAGGCAGGTCCGGCGGTTTCGGAGATCCCATAAAAAAGGGAAACAAAATTGCCATTTGGCAAAATAGATTATGAGGCTTATGCACATCAAATTATCAAATATTTTATAGAGATTTCAAAAAGTACAAATTTTGTTTATAATTCTATGGGTTCCGTACCAATTGTTATCCTTTTAGGCTGCGACGCGTCGCTTACGCGCTTCGATATTCATTTTCTAAAACAGCTACGCAGCGTAATTGCTTTGAAAAAAAGTTCAACATTTTCAAAAAAAAAAAACAGAATATAAAAAAACACTTTTTTTTCAAAAAAGTCAATATTTTTTCAAAAATTTCAAAATCCTCAAAATTTGTTTTTTTTTTCAAAAATTTTCGAAAACGTTTTTGGTGTGGAAAATTTCAGCAATTTGCCTTAAGGCACGATACCATGCACCAGTAGTTTAATTTTTCATTTATTTTAATGTAGAAAGTACACGAACTTGCACAGCAAACACTTTCTGTTTCTTGGACATCAAAAATGCTAAATATTTCATATCAAGTTACAAAAATGCCAATTCATGGTCCGACCTGAATTGTTTTACTATCGTTTTAGAGAAATCAATAGGTTGTAATATTCAATAGTTCAACGCTTTGCAATTAGATAATTTTTTATTACAATCTGTAAACTGAGTTTTGAAACAAATATTGCTAAATGAGCAAAACGAACTTTCAATTGATATTGTGTAATATATTTAAAAATCTATCTATCAAAATAACACAAATCAATATGAAAATATTTATATATGGTAGGGCGGGGAACAAAGGTCTAATTTGACTTTGAGCAATTACATTGTGAAAACCAAACCAATTATATTACAGCAAATAACATATATCTGACTATATTCAGTAGGACTCCCTGCTAATTGTGAAAATAAGTTTTTTTTTGCTGTTTTTCAAAAATGTCACCTGTTTTTTTACCTCATAGGCGAGGTAAAAAGGAACGGCCATGTGTCAAACAGGACTGTCTTACTTTTAATTTGAAATGGGTTGTACAAAATAATAGCTACATTATTCAAGCAATTCAAAATATAAATTTTCTGGGTACATTTCTTACAGAGATAACATTTTTTATAACTTATCTGGTATATCGTCAGAAATATTCATCAGCAGAGTTGGAATAACTATTTATTTAATTGAACTCTTGTAAAATTGCTTTAATAATTTAATTTACTATTTTACTTACTATTGTTTACTGTTTACACCTTTGCCAGGGTAAAGGTTCAGTTAGTACTTTTTACAAAAAACGGTTGAATCTAGCTTCAAATTAACATTACTTCTTATAAAACAATTAAATATCGTACACTTAAAAATTATATTAAGATCTCGTAAACTAAACAACAGTGCAAACAAATAAAAAAAACTGACAAGAAAAGAAAATACTTTTGTCATAGATTTTCAAATATAGGCGTTTATCTCCTGATAGCGACGATTCAAGGCGATTGCTGATTACACATGTTTTATCTAAAATTCCTAACTTTAATTAGTTTTGAAATATTTTTGGTAGACCTTTTTACCTGCGAATCTTTAAGCCTCGCTCTACCTATATGAACATAGCGAACTCAGTTTTTCATACTTTTGTAACAATAGATGCTTCTATAGCTCCTTTCTAACGATCATAGTTTTATAAATTGCGTACGACAGAAATATACTAACTACTTTGTTACAAAGATACTGAAATCCGTTTAATGATATAACAATACCTCAATTATTTAAACAATATTTTTCTTAATAAAGTTACTGGGAATGATGTGCGCCTTCTCTCTTGCTCGAGCCATCCGGAAAGCCAAGACGCAGCGTTTGATGCGCCAAAATTGGCAGCAGCGCATGGGTCAAATAATTGGCATGCAGGCGACACCCTACACACAATTGCAGGAGAAACGCGGAGCAGAAGTAGCTCCAGTCACCTACGCACCCAGCGATCCCAGCGTGCTTTGAATAGACGGGACGGAGCAGATACAAATTGATAATAGAAATAAGTCAAAAACTTCGTGGTAAATGCACGTTTTAGGATAAGTATAGCATGGTTAATGATAGGCATGTGTAGTTAAGGTCAAAATTTAAATGTTATATATACATATATACATATATATATTTATATATATATATATATATATATATATATATTAGAGTGGCCCTTAATATGGATGTTTTCCAATTTTTTTGCTCCCAGGGGCTCAAATGCTTCCAAATTGATGAAATAATACTTATTTTATAAAATATATCGAATTTTTTATACAATTTTTTTATTTATGACCTAAGTAAGCATATACAATGTTGTTCTCAAAATTTTGATTCACTTGTCGCTAAGCTTATAAAACTTTATAAAATTCTAAAAAACGAGCGGAATTTTACCCATGTTATTTCCATAAGAAACGTTGGTTAATATTAAGACTTTAAAACTTTCTGATTTTTTTTTGTCAATTTGGAAGCATTTGAACCCCTGGAGTCAAAGAAATTCAAAAACATCTATATTAAGAACCACACTATATCATAAATTTCTTTATATATATTATTGCAGTATCTTTATAAAAATGCTTTATTTGATACCGTTACATATTGAAATTGGCAATTTAGAAATAGCTTTAGGACGTTTCGATCTTTAAACAAAGATTATTTTAATATAAATCTATCATGATTTCCTTCATATAAAATAAAGCAAAGTCTTTTTTATAAATTGTAAGTGTTAATATTTTATACGGTTATAAAAAGTGTATGATAATCGTACTTGAAAATCTACTTTGATAATGTCAACTTAAATAAGTTTGTAAATATTAAATACAACATATGTTTGTATTTTTGCATGTTTTATTGAACTTATATGAAATTTTATTGTATGTTAGAATTACTAAATATATATGTTTTACCCTACTACAGTAACATTCTCATATGGAATTGATATCAGATAATTTTCCTGAATAACATTAAGTGGTCTTATCTACCACAGGTTAGTCTCTGGCACGGTATATAATAGCCTGGTAGGATTCATATCAGGCAAATTATGATATGAAAATATATATATTAAAATATTTGTAGGTCTATAAAGCCTGAATTGGCACTTCGTTGCGGTATAATATTTATTATGCCATTTATTCCAATATTGAGTTAATATAAATTCGAGTTGAGGATTTTGTGACAGTTTAATATACCAAAATATAGTGATAGTTCAAAATTTGAATTATTGAACAATTATTGTTGTATACGTTTTGGTCCTACGGTATATAATTATCGTAGATAAAGCTTAAGGTCAATACAATCATTTATAAAAAATGAAATGATAAATTATATGGGTCATACTTTTACAAATCGCACGGATTTTGGGAAAAATAAAATGTGAGAACTTAGAATTGTTTAAAAAAATAATAAGGTATACATAAAATCATTTGACACTTTATAATTTCAATAATATAACTTTTGCAATAACAACCCTTAAATGTTTGAATCGACTGAAAAATTTTTTTTCTCTGCTACAAAATTCATTTTACAATTCGAAAGATTAAATAGTTTCGAGCGCGATCGCGCTTTTACGTAGGGGATCTAAAAATCTTGTACCCATTTGTCACTTTGGAATGCCCAATTTATTGTATTTTTCTTGAAAAATAATTTATATTTTTGTTTATGGGGATAAATGAATATATACAGTCAAAAAAAATTTATTGGGGAAGAACGGAGCTTAAAGGTCCGCGGATAAAAAGGTCCACTACCAATATCTCAAAAACGAGCGAAGTTAGAAATTTTTTAAAAATAATATTTGAAAATAGAGGGATTTTTAAGTTAGTTTCGACCATTTTTTTTTAATTATAGAAATATTTTTTTAATTAATTTATCTATTGTATGAGTGTTTTTACTAACTTAGATTTTTTATTTACTATTTTTTTCATTGTTCACACCTTTGCCAGTTTTAAGGTTTAGTTGGTCCTTTTTACTTCACATATAAGCTTTCATAGAGATAATTTAAAAATCCCTATACTTTGCGGATGATTTGCTCAATTTTCACGAACTTCTTCTGTGTTAAATTAATTATCTCCAGTGGTGCTAAGCAGATTCAGTTTTGGCTTTTTTTTACTATACTCGTATAACTTGAATGTAAAAAAATATTTTTTTTGCAATAGTGGGCTTTAGACGCTTGTACTAATTTTTCACTGTTGAATGCCCACCTTATTGTTCTTTGGTTGAAAAATATTTTATAATTTTCGGAGAATGAGCGGAGCTTAATGGTCCGCAGGTAAAAAGATCTACTAGCAATATCTCAAGTCAATGTTAGGAATTTTCTAACAAAAATATTTAAAAAAAGTAGAAAAGTTAAAATTTTAAGTTAGAATCAACAATTTTTTCTAATTATAAAAATGTTTTTTTAGCTATTTTTCTAAAAAAAAAATTTTTTCATTCTTTACCCTATAAGGTAAAAAGAGACAGCCATCGGGCGATAAAATCAAAGATAACACTAACTTGATCTGCTATTTCGTAAGAAATATTCATCAGCAGAGTATATGTAACATTTGTAATAATGTACCCTCGGATAACTTAGTTTTGCGTTATTATTTTGTAATACAGTAGAAACTCATTTAAATGGACTTAAGTTATAGGGATTTGCGATTATCCGGACTACCAACCGCGACCAATTTATACGTATGTTCATTCCCACAATTTTTGCATGATTAATGCTGCAGTTTAGTATATGTATGTAATGAAATCTAAGAAAATATGTATATGTACATACATAAGGAGGTGTTAATTTCTTAATAAACATTGATTTTCGTTGATATTTAGCTATGTTCATACATTCGATTATCCGGACATTTGATTATCTGAATGCCTATCGACAATAATTAGTCATGTTAATCGAGGCTTTACTGTACATACATATAACTATTATAATTATCGTCAACGCGATCTTCCCTATTCTGCATCATATTTATTTTGGATGAGGCTGATTTAATATTAGTGAATAATTAACATAATCTTGATATGAATTGTGAGTCAATAGTTTTGCAAGAGACGTTTCGTCGAACCGCACAATGGTATGTCATAGGTAATTGTATTTCCTATCCTATACAAACCAATTGTAATAAGTGAGTTCCACAATTGAGCCGTATCATCTGTTGGTGTGGCCCGAGTAGATCACGAAATAGTTTTTTTTTTCATGACTTTTTTTTTGTTTCGCTAAAAGCGATTACCGATTAGATATTTGGTGAGAACCGGGTCTGCCATCGAAGCCATCGAATTGCGATGATCTAATCAGTTTTATTAACGAAACTGAGAGTACATTCCTTTGAAAGCATTATTTTATTAACAGAAAAAAACAGAAGTCTGAAATCAACATATGTCTGAAGAAATATGTAGAACAAGAATATTTAGTTTTTTTAAACTATTATTTAAAGTTCAAAGCAGTTAAATCATTATTAAGAGATGATACTTAGAAAAACATTTCCATTTGAGGGCATGAAATTCTTTACTATTTTGATTACAATTCGTGTTTATTTTATAATGTGGCAATCGACAGAAGAAAACTAATAATATAAATTGTTTTAAATTTTAAAAGTCCGTGGAATTTAATTCTTACTAAATACAATATACTAAACTATAGTACGTATTATATGCTATAGCTCTATACATGAATGGCAAAGGATTAAATTACGCTTCAGGAAAAATTAGGAATGCATGTAAAAATTCAATTTTGGGCGCATAGATTATCTTAAAATTACCATACTATTATCAATTTTAATATAAATGTTATCACCATTATTTATTCACTTACGTTTTACAGGGCCAAGTAGGATTTTGCTATTAATTATTTCAAGCTTCGTCAAAATTTTAGAGGATTTTTATAAACTTGTATTTGAGTGATTGTACAAAAAGTCTTTTTGTTTTGTGTCATGTCTTTTTTTGCTAATTCTGGGTTCTTTTAGTCTTTTTGTTCATATTACAACATCTTATCGCATATGACTGATATAATTTTAATAATTTGTAATAGATTTTAGAAATTTCTCTACTTAGCAAATTTTTAATGGTGACGGTTTTGTTTTTCCCTCATATATAATACTTAACAATGATTAAAAAGAACAAATTATATATTTTTATAAAAGAATAAATTATATATATATATATAAATATATATATATATATATATATATATATATATATATATGTATATTTATACCGAATTTTTATTCTGATGAACGAATATGTGATTTAAAGACCGGATCGCCTTCGGCTATAATTAAAATAGTGAACTATAATTTTCGATATCTCTTAAGGCGTAATAATTAAGTCGTAATATATTCTTCAACACTTTAGGTGACGTTTATTATTATTATATTACGCAATATTATTATTAGAATATAATAAATTAAATGAATAAATAAATAAACAAACTAGTGGGTTGTATGGCATCGTGCCTTCAAGCAAATTGCTGGAACTTCCCGTACCGTAACGAAATTTTCGAGGAATATTGATTGTTTTCAAATAGATTATTATAAATATTGTAACATTGTCTAATATTTACAAAAATTATATAAACAGAATTGCAAAGTTGAAATTATTTGTTTAAAGTATATTAGAACTTTAGTCAGAATTAAAAATGAAATCTGAATTAGTTTCGATATACAAAAAAAAAAAATTTCGAAAAAAAAAATTTCGAAACAATATTTTTTTTCCAAAATCAATTATTTTGTTAAAACAACAGAAAGTTCTTTTGAGTCATTCAAATCAGACGCTTAGTTCTCTCAAAAACTGCCATTTTTTGCACATTTAGCTCTGTATCTTCGAAATGGCTGGGCCTGCCTTTGCCAAAAGCTGATAACCACTTCTTCCAATTATTGCCAATTGAATGTTTTTTAGATCATTGAAATCGGATGCTCCGTTCTCTTAAAAACTGTTTTTATTATTAACTTATTTATTTATTAACCGATTTTTATTTTCTGCACTTTTTGTTCTTTATCTCCTTAACTACTGGACCTGCCTTTGCCAAAAACTAATCAGCACATCTCCCTATCAATAGAAATCGAATGTTTTTTAAATCATTCAAATCGGTTGATCAGTTCGCCCGAAAACGTGGACGAAAAAATGCGGACATACAAAAAAAAACACGCACGTCCATATTTTCTGAGGTATGCCAATATGTTCAGAAACCTTCAAAACGTCGAGAAATACAAAAATTTTCATTACTATAACTACCCTACGGAAAGTTAATAATTAAATCGAGTGACAATACATAATTGTTTGCAAGTGCGATTTTTCCGTTTCATTTTGCTTTAATCGTAAGGTCAGATGTATTCGCTGTATGCATATACAAAATCAATATATTGTAATTATAATAAGTATAAAATTTAAGCGATACAGGTAAAATGATACTCGTATAGTGACGTATTTTTTCAAGTTCTGTTTGTGAATTTAAGAAGTTCTACAGTGCTCGACTGCTCGCACTATAGTAAGTATTGCAAATTACAACAGTTAATTTACTGTTATTCAACAAAAATAAATAAATGAATTAAATAATTGATCATCAACTGAATTTATGAAAGGATCAACGCATATAGTCGTACTTCTGTGGCATTGACCATCACATCTCAGCCGAAGATGGCTACATATAAATACTGCAGAAGATATCACTGGATTATCATTCACTTCGCAGTGTTCTAACAAGCAACATGAAACTTGTAAGTCTTCGCAGTAATAAATGAATAAATTTTAATTATATTACATGATCTAATAATATATTTATATAAAATACTTTATATATAATATTTTTGTTATAGTTCTTAGTTGGTTTATTTGTCGCCGTATGCTCGGCCGGACGTTTGGAAAACAATTATTTGCCCCCAAATAATGCTCAAGCATCTGGAGGTAACGCTAAATTTTTAGCTGCCCCTTACGGAGCAGCCGGAGGCCCAACAACTCCTCCAGTACCAATCTTGAAAAGTGTGAATGAAAACAATGGCGATGGAAGTTACAATTTCGAGTAATTATAATTGTTATATATTATTTTAAACATTACTAATTTGATAATTTAAAATAACTTTAATAATTTATAGATATGAAACTGGAAATGGAATCAGCCAACAAGAATCTGGACATTTAGAAAACCAAGGAAGCGAAAACGAGGAACAAGTGGTTAGCGGATCTTACTCCTACACTGGACCTGATGGTAATGTTTACACCGTTCAATACCGTGCTGATTCCAATGGATTCCAAGCCTTTGGAGACCATTTGCCCACCGCACCTCCAGTACCTGAGGCTATCTTAAAATCTCTGGAACAAAATAGAGCTGAAGAAGCCAGCCAAGCTAGCCAAGCTGCCAGTCAACAATATTTGCCACCTAACAAATATAATGGAAATAGCAACAATGGATACCATTATTAGATTTGCAAATAAAATATCATTGTACATACCGTAAACAATAAACTTTATGCTTAAGTAACATTTTGTATTATCAATATGATAACTTTACAACTAAACTTATAAAAATATTGTGTAGGGAAACTTAAGTATGGCTGTGCCAGGGTACGGTAGCGACAGTCATCCTAGCAGCTAACTATACTGATTTTGAGATAGGGTCCAAAGCGAGAAAGATGAAGAATGATTATTCGAGCAAGTTCCCATTATTGCTTTCAGTCAGTGCCTTACATTAACATGATCTAAGTAATTTTTAATATTCGAATTCTTTTAAACTTTTAAGAGCAAAAACAACTTTCGATGGTGTTTGTAAACAGAAGTTGTCTACTATAACTGAAATAATGGATCAATTCCTTGAAAATTATCTAAATTTTGACAGGGGCTTGAAAGTAGAGCGCGGTGTTAGAGATGCTCTATCCGTTTATGATGAACTTTTAAGAGAATAACGCAAAAGAGCAAGTGATACAACATTAGATGCTTTTACCACAAAAGGTAGAAAACTGACGGACTGCGGAAAGCTAACTAAATATGACTGTCAACCGGTTTGAATGGTTAAAAAAACATTCGGTTCCTATTGATAGGAAGATGTGCTGATTAGTTTTTGGCAAAGGCAGGTCCAGCCGTTATGGGGATACGGAGCAAAGAGTGCAGAAAATACAAATCAAGTTTTTGAGAGAACGGAGTTTCCGATTTGAATGATTTAAACAATATTTCAATTTATAAAGATGTGCTGATTTATAATGAGGAGAAGAGGTGATTAGTTCTTGGCAAAGGAAAGTCCAGCCATTTCGAAGATTCGGACCTAAATGTGCAAAAAATGATGTGCAAGTTATTGAGAGAACTAAGCGTCCGATTTGAATAATTCAAAAAACTTTCTGGTTGTTTTAAGAAAATAATTGCTTTTGGAAAAAAAAATTTGTTCCAAATTTTTTTTGTTCAGAAAAAAAATTTATTTTGTATATCGATAATAATACATATTTTAATTTTAATTCTGTTCTAATATACTTTAAACAAAAAATGTTAAACTTTGCAATTCAGTTTATATAATTCTTATAAATATTAGACAATATTACAATATTTATAATCTATTTCAAAACATTTAATATTCCTCGAACATTTCGTTACGGTACGGAAAGTTCCAGCAATTTGCCTTATGGCACGATGCCTTACACCCCACTAGTTTAAATGTTTATGATGTGTTGTGTTACATATTATTGTTATTAACGACAATAAAAGTCGTTTCAAACCATTTTGGTGATTATACCTAATGTTTTTAACCTATTTGTAGGTGTATCACTACTGACTCCAATTGGTGTCACAACCGTCCCTCAGACGTGGACGGTGTTCGACTGGTCTTTTTTAGCTTCCCGTAGGGTAGTTATAATCGTAGGCCGAAAATTTAAAATGACAATGTTTGCATATCTTCACGTTTTGAAGGTTTTTGTACATTTTGGCTTACATCAGAAAAATGTGTGTGTGTGTGTTTTGTGTGTCCGCATTTTTTCGTCCACGAATTTTCGAAAATGTTTAAAAACCTTCATTTTTTTGTCATCTAAACTACAACTGCCTGAGAAGGCATTCAGTAATTGTTGTGATTAGTTATTAACTTCCCGAAGGAGAAGTTTATGTTTTCATAAAAAAATCCGATTCGCTAATTTTATGTTTTCTCGACGTTTCGAGCCATTCTGAATCGAATGAGATCAAATTTGAAAAAAGTATGTATGTGTGTGTGTGTATGTGAACAGATTTTTTGCCGTAAATCGACGTTTTCTCGAAAACGGCTGGGCCGATTTCAAAAATTTAAAAGCCATTCGATGTATCTCGATGAGGTTTGTTTTGTGGGACGATCGGCCGAGACGTTTCTTTATAAATAGCAGAAAAGTGAAAAAAAAATTGTGCACGTTTTAGCCAGCAATTCTGAACCGATTATAAAAATTCAAAAACCGTTCGAAAGATATTGGATGGGAATTGTGCTGATTAGTTTTTGGTAAAGATCGGCCGGGCCGTTTTCTTGTAATAATGTGTTAAAAAAAATTTTTCGACGATTTTTTTTTTTTTTGACGATAGATACCATAGTCTTCTAGATCATACTAAAATATTACGGCCCTACGACAACTCGTTTAGCTTTAAAAATTCATCAAAGTTTGCAAAAATTGGTATCGTTTTATTGGCATTTGTCAAAATTAGACCTTTGATCGACGTTTTCTCAAAAATGCCTGAACCGATTTTAGAAATTTAAAATCCATTTGATGTATCTCGATGAGGACTAGTTTGTCAGTTTTGTGCGATAATCTGCCAAGCCGTTTCTTTGTCATTTGGGAAAAAGTGTTAAAAAATCAAAAACTGGTCGAAAGATATTAGTTGGGAATGATACTGATTAGTTTTAGGTGAAAATCTACTGAGCCGTTTTCTTGTAATTAACTGTTGAAAAAAAAATTTAAGCCGATTTTTATGGAACTTTTTTTGGCGATATACATCATGGTCTTTCAAAACTTACTGAAATATTACGGCCTTACAAAAAGTAGTTTTTAAAAAAATTACGACAAGTAGGTTTTAAAAATTCATCAAAGTTTGAGAAAATGAGTAGTTTTTTTTACGTTTGTTAAATTTAAAATTAGAGGATTTACTTGGTATAATGATAGAGTACTTGGTCTTAATGAACATACTAAAGCATTAACGTCCCATGGAAACTGATTCAATTATAAAAATTGTTGATTTTCGAAAATTTGCTCTTAGAAAATATTTCCAGTTAACGTGTTCGTTCGTTTTCAATTATGTGTAATAAATCCGCTTGGAATACTTTTACAAATCACTCATAAATTAATTTATATTTTATTGATTAAGTCGAATATTTACACATATCGGGAAGTTCATGTAACTTGCCTCAAGGCTAAATACCAAACCAACTACAGTAGAACTCCAATTATCCGAACTCCGACTATCCAAATTCCAATTATCCGAACTTCGATTATCCGAATAGCCGATTATCCGAATCACTTTCAGAAAAAAAATTGTCCAAAAAAAGTCTAAGTGCGCTATTATTCTTCCACCAGCAAAGCCAGTGTAGGCACATTGTTTGTTTTGATTTGACGGAGATGTTTACAAAACAATGATTTTTATTTCTAAACTTGTACTTTTTTTTTTTTTTAACTCGTTTAAGTACATTTTATTTATATTTAAAACATGTGAAAATGACATGTTTCTTTCATTTAATTCAATAAAAAAATAGTGCAATATCAAAACGTAACTTTTTTTCTCTCCAATGGCAATTTTTAAAAAAAACTCCGATTATCCGAATATTTGATTATCCGAATGGGTCCCGGTCCCCATTAATTTGTATAATTGGAGTTCTACTGTAGTTAAATAAGTTTTTAAAATATAACACATTGGTAGTATTTCAAGTTAGTATAATAAATATAAATACGTGACAATAATTGCAAGCAAATAATAAATATAAATATGTGAGAATAATTACAAGCACTATACTAAATATATAACTATACTAAGTCTAATGGATCTAATCTTCTTAGTCTCTTGACAGTGTAAAAACCTTCGAAATAATCACAATATTTTTTTTTCGAAATGTTTTCTTTCATAACGATTATGTTTTGTTTATGCATATAAGTTTACATATCTTGAAATGATACACATCCTTTGCAGAATACGCTGGTTGCCTCCTGAATTAGCACTTGTAAATTTACGTTACTAACAGTTTCAAGAGTATTTAAAACTATTAACACTATTATTGATAAATGTTCATTTATTATTGATTATTTTTATTCTTTATATGTTTAATTACAATACGGAAAGTTAATTTGTCTTAAAGCACAATGCCATACCTTACGAATCTTACGATAGCTTCACGATGCCACCTACCATTAGCTTTTTAACATTTTTCGACGGCTGCAAAAATTGGTAAAAAGCACGTTGAATGTGGTATAACAATTGTACTCAGTTTCAATTTATTATAATGCCACTGCATTTTTAAATATTACAAACTATATGTTTGTAAATGTAAAAATAAGAGCTGTAAACATTATAAAAATTTTGGGCGTCATATTAAAGCTGTAATTAATAGAGCAATAATAATTATAAAATCACAAGAAACATAAAGCCTAATAGAATAATAGAATAACTTTTGCACTGCGATATTAAAATAACTGACTCTCTCATAAGTATGGTGTGAAATGGTTGAAGCAAAAATGTTTAAATAGAAAGACCATTTATAAGACAAACGTATAAGGTAAAGTCTGACAAACAATAATACGTTAAGAATAACTGTCTGTTCAAAACTTTCATTCTAGGCTTAAGGAACCCAAGATACTTTTTTTACACAGAGTCAATTTAAATTTTATAATATACTCGATTTGAAAAAAAGTTGATTTTTTTAACTTCCCGAAAGAGAAGTATATGTTTTTGTCAAAAAAATCGATTCGCTAATTTTATGTTTCCTCGACATTTCAAGCCATTCTGAATTGAGCGAGAAAAAGTATATATGTGTGCGTGTGTGTGTGTGAACAAATTTTTTGCCGTAAAAGTCAGTTTTGTGCGACGACCGCCCAAGCCGTTTCTTTATAAATTTCAGAAATGTGAAAAATTTTTCATACGCAAATCTGAATCGATTTTGAAAATTCAAAAACCGTTCGAAAAATATTGGTTTGGGAATCGTACTGATTAGTTTTTGGTAGAGATCGACCGGGCCGTTTCCTTGTAATAAAGTGTTAAAAAAATTTTTTTTCGACGATTTTTATTATTATTTTTTGATGGTAGACACCGTAGTCTTATAGATTATACAAAAATATTACGGCTCTACGACAACTCGTTTAACATTAAAAATTTGTCAAAGTTTGCAAAAATTACTATCATTTATTTGAAATTTATCAAAATTAGACCTTTTATTGACGTTTTCTCAAAAAATAGCTGAACCGATTTCATTTAAAAGCCATTCGATGAATCTCGATGAGGATTATCGTTTGACAGTTTTGTCGGACGATCAGCCAAACCGTTTCTTTGCAATTTGGAAAAAAGTGATAAACTTTTCGTCTACATTTAAACCTCATACTACTGAAAAATCAAAAACTGATTAGTGGTAATGATACTAATTAGTTCTAGGTGAAAATCTACCGAACCGTTTTCTTGTTATTAACTGTTGAAAAAAAAAATTAATCCGATTTTCATTGAACTTTTTTTGGCGATATATATCATGGTCTGATAGAGCTTACTGAAATATTACGACCTTACGACAAGTAGTTTAATTTTAAAAATTCATCAAATTTTGAGAAAATGAGTAGTGTTTTTGACGTTTGTTAAAACTAATATTAGACGATTTACTTGGGTAACGATAGAGTACTTGGTCTTAATGAACATACGAAACCATTAAAGTCATACGGAAACTAGTTTGATTATAAAAGTTATTGATTTTTGAAAATTTGCTTTTAGAAAATACTCTGAGTTTAACCTGATCGTTTGTTTTCAATTATGTGTAATAAATCCACATAAATTAATTTCTTTTTTATTTATTAAGTTAACTTTTAACTTATAGATTGTATTGTAATCTGATTGTTAAAATTAACAGAAATAAAAAAAAAAAAAAATATTAAGTCGATTATTTACACATATCGGGAAGTTCATGTAACTTGCCTTATGGCAAAATACCAATACCAACTAGTTATTTTATGGTTTATAATAATTGAGTAATATATGTTACACATCTATTTTTCTTAATGAACCATATAATCAACTATGCTTAGCAATGATTTTCCGCAGGATAATTTGTACGTAGCTTTTTACTACCTGCAAACGATTTAATAATTAAATCAAATAAGATATATTTTGAATAGATTTTATTAAAATTAAAGCTTCAAGATATAAAATAAGGTTTGTATACACATATTTACAGTTGTATAGATCGAGTATTTTACATATTCATAAATCGTCGTCTATTGAATATTTTAATATTGGTATCCACCGTTTGACTTTTTAGCGCTAACTACGGGTGGTAAGTATTGTTGGCTGGCAGATTGGCTGGCTTCTTCAGCTTTGTTTTGTTCCAAAGATTTCAAGATTGCTTCAGGTACTGGAGGAGCGGTAGGTAGATGGTCACCGAAAGCTTGGAATCCATTTGCATCAGCACGATAGTGCACAGTATACACGTTGCCATCAGGTCCAGTGTAAGAGTAAGATCCGCTGACTACTTGTTCCTCGTTTTCACTTCCTTCGTTTTCCAAGTGTCCGGATTCTTGTTGGTTAATGCCGTTTTCAGATTGGAATCTATGTAAGTAAATAGTAATTGCATTAAATGTCCTAGATAATAGATAAAGCTTTAATGCTTACTCGAAATTGTAGGTTCCATCTCCGTTATTATCATTAACACTCTTTAATATGGCAACCGGTGGAGTTGTTGGAGCACCAGCAGCTGCATACGGAGCAGCCAGGAATTTGCCATTGCCTCCTGATGAAGAGGCATGGTTGGGAGGTAGGTAATTGTTATCCAAACGCGCGGCCGAGCATACGGCTACAAACATTCCAACCAAAAACTGAAACAAAAATAATTCGCTTCGTTAAATATATATTATAATGTAAGTTATAAAAGGATAAAAGTTTATAAAACACTTGCCAGTTTCATGATGCTGATTATTTTATTCGTGAGCGAATGATGCTGGTCTAACTATCTCACTAGTATTTATACTTAACCATCTTTGAAGATCAATTTACAAATTCAGAAATCCAGTTGTAATGTGGTTTCACGGCCGGCATAAGGTGACAACATTAACAATGTTTTTTGTCATACGAAAGCTCTCGAATGGAAGCTATGTTATTCTTATTATACATGAAACATTTGAATATTCATTTACATTAACTTCTATGTAACATATGAATATTATCTCGGTCAAATCAGCCTGAAAAAAATAGTTTCAAGTTTTTATAATTATAAATATGTAAAGAACATCTATGAAGAAAAAACTATATTTTATAAAATATTTTAAAATATTAAAATTGTGTTGTAACAAGATATTGATAAATATACTCGTCATGTACAAATGACAGAACTTTGTGTATTGACGAGTATATTTGTCATGCGTATGAATTTTTAGTCATTGGCTATCTAAATTGCAACTTTTGAAAAAGATCTATGGTGTATGGCATCGTGCCTTAAGGCAAATTGCTGGAACGTTATAAGTACCGTAACAAAATATTCGAGGAATATTAAATATTTTCAAATAGATTATTATAAATACTGTAACATTATCTAATATTTATAGCAATTATATAAACTGAATTGCAAAGTTAAAATTATTTATTTAAAGTATAAAGTGTGAGTTTTAGAACTTTAGCCAAAATTAAAATTAAAATTTAAATTATTTTTGATATACAAAAACATTTTTTTTCGGAATTTTTTTTTTTGAGAATCATTCAAACAGGATGCTTAGTTCTCTAAAAAACTGCCACTCTTTCACCACCACTTCTCCCAATCATTACAAATTGAATGTTTTTTGGATCATTCAAATCGGATACGCCGTTCACTCAAAAACTCGATTTCTATTTTCTGCAATCTTTACTCCGTATCTTCGTAACTCCGTAATGTATATTTCAAAAATACATACAGGGCTTTAAACCAGAAAATGGAAACGTTTACTTTTGTTTGTTTGTTTTCACAAACATTTAAGGAAAATCGGTTGTGGCAAACACAATTTTGATGATATATAAATGCTAATAATTTTAAGACGTCTTTGAAATTTTATGCAAATTTAGAAGTTAATATTTTTTTGATTAGATTTAGTATTAAACACAATGAATATATTTTTTATATAGACGAAATCGTAAAATTTAATCTAAAAGCTTTCGGGCAACTTGAAAAGATTGAAAGCTCTATTTTTTACTTTTATTATGAAAGAATACCATGTGTTCGAGTATAACTATTGAATTGAATACAATATATTCTGAAATGAAGCACAGAATGCAGGCACAAAAATGTTTGAAATATAGTCGTTAACTTAGATTTTTTTTTATCACATTATCTTTAATAGTTATTTATAAAGATATTTAGAAACGTCGTGATTCATTAAACCATTCATATTAAGTAAATGATAAACTAAATATTTATGGCAAAAACCCAAAGAATATTATGATTAACATAAAAATAGATCAATTTATTTTTTATGCAACATTCAGATCCAATTAGCATAAACGCCCACTAGCACGCATATACTATGCATGTTTTTAAAGTAGTTGCATCATAAATATTTTAACGTGGACAATCCAAATAATATCATTGTCGTAAAACGAATTCATTTATATTTGTGATTTATTTAAATCTGTATTATTTGCGCATAAATTAAATCAACTGATCTAGTTAAAATTCACTGAATAGTTTAACAAATGTTGTTGGAGGTCAGATATATTGAAACCTACAAGGGAGTGGATCTACATGGACTTCTTGTTGGAGGTTAAAACCGTGAACGAATATTTAATCTTTATACAGCTACCCCAAAATAGCAAATTATTAATTAACTTCCCTTAGGATAAGTTATTGTAATCGTCCAAAAATCGAAATTGAAAATTTTTACATTTCTTCACGTTTTGAAGATTTCTGAACATTTTGGCATACCTAAAAAAAAGGATGCGTGTGTGTATTTGTGTGTGTGTGTATGTATGTATGTATGTATGTATGTATGTATGTATGTATGTATGTATGTATGGATACAAATTTTCGTCCACGTTTTCGGCCGCACGGATCAACCGATTTGAATAATTCAAAAACACATGCGATTCTTATTGATTAGGGGATGTGCTGATTAGTTTTTGGCAAAGGCAGGTCTAGCCGTTTCGAAGATACGGAGCAAAGAATGCAAAAAAAAGAAATCGAGTTTTTGAGAGATTGGAGCATCGGATTTGAATGATTCAAAAAACATTCAATTCGTAATGACGAAGAGAAGTGGTGATTAGTTTTTAGCAAAAACAGGACCAGCGGTTTCGGAGATACAGAGCTAAATGTCCAAAAAGTGGCCGTTTTTGAGAGAAATAAGCATCCGATTTGAATGATTCAAAAACCTTTCTGCTTTCTCTGACAAAACAATTGCTTTTGTAATTTTTGTTTTATTTTAATATTTTTTTCCAAAAAAATTTTTTTTTATATATCGAAAATAATTCAGATTTTAACTTTATTTCTGGCTAAAGTTTTAAAGCTCACTTATATACTGTAAATAAATAATTTTAACTTTGTAATTCAGTTTATATAATTCTTATGAATTTATAATAATCTATTTGAAAATATTTAACATTCCTCAAACATTTCGTTACGCTGCGGGAAGTTCCAGCAATTTGCCTTAAGGTACAATGCCATACACAATTAGTTTTGGCATAGATTTGAATATATGTATGTATGTATGTATGTATGTATGTATATGTATGTAATTTAATCATTTTTGGATATAAATTTTGCATGTGAATTCTCGAAAAAACCATATGATTCAAACTGATGGTATGAATCATTATCTGCCTTCAGAGGAAAAATTGAGTACTTGATTAATGCACATCAAATTATTGAAAACATAAGGAGCTTTTAATAATATGTACACATTTTTTTCATTTGTTAACTTAGAGTTTTTGCTATACGGTATACAATATATATATATATATATATATATATATATTGTATGATTCTGAATTTGATGTTGACATATGTATTAACAAAGTCTAATAATCGGGCATAACATCAATAAAAAACATGAATTTCTTTCAAAAATTTATTTTAAATCCATACGTTTCAAGTTAATGTTTGTAATACATAGTGTAGTGCATTACCATATCCTAATACCATGGATTATTAAAATTTTCCATTTCCAATAGTGTAGTGCATTACCATATCCTAATACCATGGATTATTAAAATTTCTCAATTTAACACTAAGATCAACTAATTTTTCCACTGAATGAAGGCTAGGATTATAGCCGAAACGTATGGATTTAAAATAAATTTTTGAAAGAAATTCATGTTTTTTATTGATGTTATGCCCGATTATTAGACTTTGTTAATATATATATATATATAGTATATATATATATATATATATATATATATATATATATATATGTTCGCACATATATGGGCTAATTTATCTTCCGTATCATTTTAAATTTTATATAGCGATGTAGCAAAAATATCTATATTTGTAATTCATAATAATTGACGTCAGATATGGCATTAGAGAAAAATAATATTTATTATTCACAATATTTTACATTTACAAAAAATAAGTATTTTCTATTTAATAGTGGTATCCACTTTTGCTGTTCTTGTTAGGTGGTAAATATTGTTGACTGGCGGTTTGGCTGGCTTCTTCGGCTTTGTTCTGCTCCAAGGATTTCAAGATGGCCTCTGGTACTGGAGGAGCGGTGGGCAAGTGGTCTCCGAAGGCCTGGAAGCCGTTGGCGTCGGCACGATATTGGACGGTGTAGACGTTGCCATCAGGACCAGTGTAGGAGTAAGATCCGCTGACTACTTGCTCCTCGTTTTCACTTCCCTGGTTTTCCAAGTGACCAGACTCTTGGTGGTTTATGCCGTTTTCAGATTGGTATCTAAACGAATCAGATAATGACTAACTAGCTGTAAGTGGAATTCTGTCTTAAGGCAATTAGGGCATCGTGCCTTAAGGCAAATTGCTGGAACTTCCCGTACCAAAATTATTATTTTTTTAAAAACGATCAACATTTTTGAAAAAAAATTACTTTGAAAAAATAAGATTTTTGAGAAACTATAAATTGGACAAAAAAATACTTTTTTTGAAAAAAAAATTTTTTTTTTAAAAATAATTTTTTTTAAAATTTTTTTTTTTTGAAAAAAATTTTTTTTCTTTATTTTGACATATTGTGGAAGATCTGAACTTTCTTTTCAAAGCAATCGTACTGCTTTAACTGCATAGGGACAAAATATAAAGCGCGTGAGCCCCGCGTCCCTGTCTAACGCATAAACATTGGTACGGAACCCATAGGAATGTTAACAAAATGTATACTTATTGTTAAAATCTCTATAAAATATCTGATAATTTGATGTGCATATGTCTAATGATCATTTTTGACCGCCAAATGGCTCATTTTTTTACTTTTTCCTCCATATCTCCGAAACCGCTAGACCTACCTTCATGAAATTTTTTTCGATTCTTCATCTTGTCAATACAAGTGAAATGTTTTTTGAATTATTCAAATCGGACGCTCCGTTCTCTTAAAAACTAAGTTACCGTTTTCGGCACTTTTTGCCCCGTATCTTCGGAACGGCTAGACCTGCCTTCGCCAAAAACTAATCAGCACGTCTCCTTATCAATACGAATCTAATGTTTTTTGAATTATTCAAATCGGTTGATCCGTGTTCCCGAAATCGTCGACGAAAATTTGTATCCGCACATACATACACACACATACATACATACATACATACATACACACACACACACACACACACACACACATACATCCATTTTTTCTAAGGTATGCCAAAATGTTCAGAAACCTCTGAAACGTAAAGATATATAAAAATTTTCATTTTCGATTTTTTTGCGATTACTATAACTTACCCTACGGGAAGTTAAATATATTAACTTAAAGAGTTAGATGTCCTCATTAGAAATTT